TACGTTTTCAATAAGTTCTATGTCCCTTAATTTTGACGGGCTCCATACACTGGCGGCGTACTCCAGGTGGGGTCGCACTAGAGATGTAAATAGCATTTTAAACATTGATTCATCTAGGTAAGAAAAAGATCTTCTAAGTGTTATTGAGGGGGAATGATTAATACAGTTTACATGGACTTCATGAAGGCCTTCATAAAGTGCCTCACAAGAGACTCATTGAAAAGCTGTCCTACTATGCTGTTTGTTTTGTTGACCATTGACTGTATGTGTGTTCTGAAGCTTAAATCCTCATCTATAGTGACACCGATGTCCTTTTCTTTGTTAACGTGCTCCAGCTGGATTCTTATATATAAATGACCTCCAGATCCTTCCATATAATAATTTCGTTTTTGGGTTGCCTTAATTGAAAGAACTTTACATTTGTTAGGGTGGAATTTCAATAGCCATTTGTTGGACCAATTTTGAAGATTATCTAAATCCTTCTGGAGTATTTTGATATCATGCATGTTATTTATTTGTCTATATAATTTGGTATCATCAGCAAAGAGTGGCGATTGAGATTCGGGTATTTCAGGTAGATCGTTGATATATGCAACAAATAATATGGGGCCCAAAACGCTTCCTTGTGGGATACCACTTAGTACTGGGTATGTTTTAGATGATTCGCCATTGACAATCACTCGTTGACATCTATTACTTAAAAAGTCTTGTATCCAGTTAACAATTTGAGGACTTATACCATAACCTGACAATTTTTTTAGTAGACGTTGGTGTGGCACTTTGTCAAACGCCTTCATGAAATCCATGTATACAACATCCAACTCTCCAGTTTTACTACAGTGAAATTTGAAGATTAAAACCAAGTGGTCACTACTTCCAATTGGGCTTTTATAATGGATTTCCTTAACCATTTCCTCTTCATTTGTTATGATTAAGCCCAATATGCTTGGATCGTTACCTCTTCTGACTCTTGTAAAATCTCTTGTATGTTGGTGAAGATAATTATCCCGTAGACATTCTTTAACGTTTTCGCTGACCTTATCATTGCGGTCGTCCACATGTTTTTATCCATCGTAGACATTTTTCCAGGTTAGTCTTCGGCTTTGGAAATAGTATCAACCTTGCACCATTCAGTCGCTGTGGGTATCTCTCATCGGCAGTGCAGGTTCCCCCATGCACATCGTAAAACCATACCTCTGTTTACTTGTGGGACAACATGCGCTTGTGGGACTTAATGGCGGACGAGTAAACAGCTGATCGGGGCAAAGTACATGCAATTGGTTGACAGGTCGGAACTATGTATTGTTTACGATCCTTAACATTAAGAGAAAATAACATCTATCACCGAAGAAGTGATGAAAATGGATCCAATTTTTCATAAATGGCGTTGGTATCGCAATTACGCGAAGACAAAATAAAATGGCATACTACGGCAAATTAGTAATATTAGTTACGTCACCATAATAAAAAGATGTATCGAGAGCAAGCTAAGGCGTATTAAGATTTACAAAATGTTTACGGAGGTTGAAAGTTTTTATGAAACATTTCATAAAGATATTTCTTTAACAAAATACAATAAGAAAATAACAGCGTGTCCAATAATCGTAATCCAACCTAAAGTCATTAAAACTGGAGCAAAACATGAACAAAAGAATGATATCTCTCTCCTTCTCTCTCCCTTCCTACCTAAAATAAGATGTTAAATTAGATGCCTCTCCGGTTAGGAGAGACTGATTTACACGAAATTACAAAATCTCTCTCTCTCTCTCTCTCTCTCTCTCTCTCTCTCTCTCTCTCTCTCTCTCTCTCTCTCTCTCTCCCCCCTTCTCTCTCTCTCTCTCTCTCTCTCTCTCTCTCTCTCTCAGTGTATAATTGTATATTTAAACATGCCACTTTGTCTTGTTGTTATATATTTTGTCAAACTTTATAGGGAAAGGGCCTAACATAAGTTGGAAACCTTGTGCCCAATCCTATTGAAATTGTCCAATAAAATATGTCTAAATCAAAATGATTTACACGGTCACCCCTGAAAAAGTAAATGTACAAGAATAAGACCATGTGCTTCGGAAGAGTAAACGTCTTCTGCTTTATCGCCGACACCCGTCATGTAAACCTTGGTCAATCCAAGTAAGCAATATCACGTCCATGAATGAGAACTGGGTATAAAGGAACCGACAGTTAAAATTAACGGACATCAAACATAATAATTTTATATTATGTATATTCCATCAGATTCAGCCAATTGTCATCTGATGCTATTTGGAGAAATATACCATGTATCGACAGCGTCAAACTTGAGGTACTTTATGGATTTAACGGACTTCATGACCGCTATTTCGGCCTTATCAGCAGACGCGAATTTTCAGACTTAATAAAATGTCTATATAACTTCAGAACGAATGAAAGTATCGTGACAAGCAGGGTTAACTCTGGCGATTTAAGTCGTATGGATAACTAGAATATCTTCGCCGTACACGCCTTCAGGATAAATCTACGACACCTAAATGTTATTTTTCAAAACATACCTTGGTGAAGTTTTCATATCTTATTGTGAGGAGATCTACTGTAAGACACGTTGCCGTATATATTTAAATATCTTCCTAACTAACTGGAGAAATAAACGATGTATTTAATTATCCGTGGAACTTCCTCTTTAGAATCAGTCTTGTAGTCACACGAAAAAGTGGATTCGTTTATTAACCGCCCTGCCACACAGGCGAATAAGACTTAAACGTTGAAGATTACGGATTTGATCACAGGGACTTGTCAGGGATTCCCAAACTTCACTCCACAAATTTGTATTATAGTGACTATAATACATATATGTACCATGGGTTTGGAATTCGTGAAAAGTCCCAGTGATCGACGTGCATGTTTAGCAATTAGCTCCGCCAATGTATATTATACACCGATGAGTGTAAAAATGTTATAAACAACGCACAGATGACCATAAAAGGTAATATTACCACCAAAAGTAGGTCACATTGATTAGAATGAATAAGTGATATTGATAAAAATGAATAGATGATATCATAGATTTAAAATGAATAGGTGCCACCGCCATAACAAATAGATTATGTAACCAAACTAAATTTAACGAGTTGATGAATGCTGTTTTTAGCAATATGACTATGATAATTATGTGATACCACGAGAATGGTGGGTGATGCCACTATAATGATCAGGTGAAACAATTGTGATGACTAAGTGATACCATTGTGATGACTAAGTGATACCATTGTGATGACTAATTGATACCATTGTGATGACTAAGTGATACTATTGTGATGACTAAGTGATACCATTGTGATGACTAATTGATACCATTGTGATGACTAAGTGATACCATTGTGATGACTTAGTGATACCATTGTAATGACTAATTGGTACCACTTCCATCGAATATAGAGTAAAGCGTTATCACAAAGAAAAGTATCGAAATATTCTTACTGGTAACTGGATACAGAATTGGACACAAACAGTACGTGATTTCAACGTCTGACAACATGGTCACACAGCTCATGGTGACCATCAAATTCAAGATGGCTGATTTTACGGCAAAAATAAAGAAATGGAAATTTCAGAGTTAATGAATATTACCAGGCCCGGAATGTTGTTCATATCTCGTTGTGAAGCCCATTTCCAATAGGTTGACTATACTGGTCATTGTCGGCCCGAATGACCATGTCCTCAGTCATATCCATAAACGATATTAGCTGTAAAACGGGAGAAAACTTTACAATATAGTTTTACACAACCGAGACATGTGATAAGATTCTTTCTCTTCCGGGTATAATAATAGTCTTCGAAATGGCTTCCTTGATAAGTTATTGAGAAACCTATCAGTGGCTTATCAGTAATGTATACTTGTATGCTTAAACATACACTCATTCCATTGGGATATGGTGTAACTTACTGCGTCACTGCAGGTCACGGATTGTGACTTTGATGCTTCCTGTTAGGACTATATAACTGAAAGCCCAAGATTTTTTACGGCGTGTTTCACTTCATTGCTTGATTGTATGGGGCTACTAAAAGTGGCCCCTACAGAATCGGGAGATTTAGTCCGTGTCTACTACCAAGTGGAAAATGAAGAGGCCAAATTAAGGGCACCTAAGCAAATCATGTGTTTTGTATTCTAAAAAGACTCTAAAGTTGAAATGAAACTTTACCAAACTACATCTGCTGATCCCGTTGTAACTCTTGGAATCTTGATATTGTTTTACTCCCTGTCAGTTCCATCGTTCTGTGCCATTCTGTTTTGCTGTTGACGTCCCTCTCGTCTCTCATCATCATATGACTCTGGCTGTTGTCAAGATATCAAAAATGACACCAACATCGTGTTAAATACATTGTAATGTCGGTGATCGGTTATGTTAGTGTGACTTCGTCAAAGGGGGATGAAATATTTATTTTTCAATAAGTTAAACAAAAAGAATTCACTTTATATAAATATTGGGCTAATCACCATATTGTATGGCAGGATTGCAGTTTGGTAGATTTCCACTGATATTTAGAAAATAAAGAATATTTAAGAACCAAATATATTCGGTTAAATCAGACTGAAGTTTCCTTGGTTGTGTTTTGAAACAGATTGTGAAGATATGTTAAAGGACAAAGATACAGTCAAACTTCGGTATTTCGAACTTCAGTATTTCGAATTTCTCGGTATTTCGAACTTTTTAAAAAGTCCGGAAATTTTTTTACTATATAACTATAGTAATTTTACCATACTTATTTCGAACTTTTACATATCGAATTTCTCGCTATTTCGAACTTTTTTCTAGTCCGATTAATAAAAACATAGGAACATACACGTTTTATTTCGATGTTTTGAAAATTTACCTGTATATGAGGATTGAATGATTTGTAATACAATAAACCTATATATGACATACAATACATTCGTGACAAGATTATCGCCATCTAACACAGACACTGCTTTTTAAACTACGTTATTAAGTATTGTATTAATGATGCTATGTACTGACTGTAGAAAAATGGCAATCTTGGGGCAGGCTTCTTCACTAGCACCGGATGTAGTATTCTCTTCGATTTCCTTGTTCGTGAAACTAGAGGTCAGAAAGTACCGTTGTGTATGTCTTTCTCAGATGACAGTTCCGCGTTACTATTCGTGAGATAGCAACAACACTTCCTAAAAGTGAAGTTCTCATCTCTCAAACCTTTAGATAAATGTGAACCGAGCTAAATCTGTGTTATTGAACCAACATTACGTTTCGTTGAAGGTAGCCATGTTTTTCTTGCATAGGCTTCTGAAACCATGACTTTACCTGGGGGGTGCATATCGACAAAAACTGCCCTGATTCAATCCAGACTTACGATATGAACTCAGGAAAAGAAACAGATTACTCAAATATTCAAAACCCTAATCGTTCTCCAGGCAATTTGACTTATCCCGGAAACTACGAATCATGTAAATAATATTAAAAAACTTACTAAAGAAAACTTCATTTCGGACATAAATGGTATTTTAAATCGTTATATTGTTTCGCACCATAGATTCCAATCAGTTTTCTCTTCAACATTCACCTACATTTTAAACGAGTTATCTCCCTTCCGCCGGTCAATTTTAATAAATAAATATCTGTTTTTTTTAAAAATACAGTCTTAATATGAAAGAACCAAGTTTTTTCCCCATCAATAAACAAAAGTTAGAATATCCTTTCCGTTATACATAATTAAGATGTTAATTGAATAATTGAAACTTACTTTCTTTTTCTCTTTCAGGCAACGAGTTCTGCTAACCGGGTCGAAACCGAAAATAGAAGTCTGCATGTTGGAAGTAGTCAGAACAAAATGTCTGCGTTTAGATATGTTCGTCCGAATCTGTTTACGCTAGGCATGTTAACTCTCATAATAGGGTTTTCTACTTCGAACTGGCGAACATTTACTGTGAACAGTTCGGACAATGTAACATATATCGGACACGAGGGTCTGTGGCAGAAAGTTCTCTCCAATGACAGTGTATCCTGCTCGGGGTATCTCGGCTATCATACAGGTAAGCTGCTTTGTTTTCCCGATCACATAACGAGTTACCGCTAAAGCGGGCCAGGAATTAGGGTTGTGTTGTGGTGGTGTTTTACACGAGCTCTGATGCATAATACTTGAAGAAATTGAGAAAAGATGACATAAGGACAACCTAACGTGTGAAATATGGTACGCCCTGTTCTGGCCCATTAAGTATGCTTAAAAGATCGCTGTATGAGTAGGTGATCGTAACGTCGGATAACATATGGACACTTTGATTTAAATATCTTATGTACTATTTTAATAGTTATTTTCACTTAGGTAAGTATATACCTACTATAATGAGTCATAGACCGTACAGCTGTATGATGCAGGGGTGCCAGTTTTGGTCATGTGACCATTCAGTGATAAACCTACATTTTGAGCTCACCTGACGCCTGTGAGCGATACAGGTCCTCTGGGCCTCTTGTTTGCAAGAAGACGTCTCTAAATTGTCAGCTGCAAAAAATGAAGCTTTTCGCTGAATGATTACAGACTATCAGCACTCGATTCCTCAATAAGAAACCAAGGTTCAAAATTTAAGCCCTTACCATCTGAGGCAAGATGATTTAATACAAGAGCTTAAACGTATGTATGAATCAACTTACCATCTTACTATATTTAGTAATGTCCTTGCATATATATCTACATGTAACACCTGTGGCCATACAATTACCTTGTTAGTATGTAATGATAAGACAATGCACAACTCACATCCTCCTCGGTATATTAACACAGAAGCGTATCGTAAGTATGGACAGTAGAGTTAGAATTTGTATCTACTTCTTTAGCATACCTGTCAACTTTTCAAAATTCTCTGTAAAGATCACTGACTGATGAAAATGTCAGTACTCCACCCTGTAAAGATCACTGACTGATGAAAATGTCAGTACTCCACCCTGTAAAGATCACTGACCGATGAAAATGTCAGTACTCCACCCTGTAAAGATCACTGACTGATGAAAATGTAAGTACTCCACCCTGTAAAGATCACTGACTGATGAAAATGTCAGTACTCCACCCTGTAAAGATCACTGACTGATGAAAATGTCAGTACTCCACCCTGTAAAGATCACTGACTGATGAAAATGTTAGTACTCCACCCTGTAAAGATCACTGACTGATGAAAATGTCAGTACTCCACCCTGTAAAGATCACTGACTGATGAAAATGTCAGTACTCCACCCTGTAAAGATCACTGACTGATGAAAATGTCAGTACTCCACCCTGTAAAGATCACTGACTGATGAAAATGTCAGTACTCCACCCTGTAAAGATCACTGACTGATGGAAATGTCAGTACTCCACCCTGTAAAGATCACTGACTGATGGAAATGTCAGTACTCCACCCTGTAAAGATCTCTGACTGATGAAAATGTAAGTACTCCACCCTGTAAAGATCACTGACTGATGAAAATGTCAGTATTCCACCCTGTAAAGATCACTGACTGATGAAAATGTCAGTACTCCACCCTGTAAAGTTCACTGACTGATGAAAATGTCAGTACTCCACCCTGTAAAGATCACTGACTGATGAAAATGTCAGTACTCCACCCTGTAAAGTTCACTGACTGATGAAAATGTCAGTACTCCACCCTGTAAAGATCACTGACTGATGAAAATGTCAGTACTCCACCCTGTAAAGATCACTGACTGATGAAAATGTCAGTACTCCACCCTGTAAAGATCACTGACTGATGAAAATGTAAGTACTCCACCCTGTAAAGATCACTGACTGATGGAAATGTCAGTACTCCACCCTGTAAAGATCACTGACTGATGAAAATGTCAGTACTCCACCCTGTAAAGATCACTGACTGATGAAAATGTCAGTACTCCACCCTGTAAAGTTCACTGCACTGCTTAAGCATGTAAAACTGGTCTGTTATCCTTATTAATATTATTTCAAATATATTTCCATTTATTTTAACGTGAATGTATTTTCATACATGATAGGCAAATATACTATCTTTTCTTTCTACTTCAGATTCTCATGCCTTGAACAGCCTACATACTGTAAGAAATCTATTGGCTGTTGCCATAGGAACGTCTTTCCTACTCCTGATAGTCTGTAGTTTAACACTGTGTCTGCAGGATGACGACAATGACGACGAGGAAATCCATGCAGGATGTGCAAAATGTCTCTACCGCGCACTGTTTGTGTTCATACTATTAATATGTAAGATTGAAATTGATTTTGATTTGATGAAGTTTTGAACTTTTCAGTAAGTGTCGCCACAAAATAATGAAACAAATATATTAAATAAACTGAGTGTCAGACATTACTTATATATGTTGATCCATTAGTCTGCTGAAGATAAATAAGCTTTTGAACATTTCAATGATATGAACAAAACAACATGTCAACAAAACCTTAATTCAGACTAAAATTAGATTTATATGGATTTCCCTGAGAAAATACAAACAGAATAAGGCCGCATGTTCTGCAACTATAACACGTTCCCCAACGAGAACTAGGTAAACAACAATGGAATCGAGACATGCTAACTAGCATTGGACAAGTTCAATTTCAAATTGCACAAGGAAATACAAGGGCTTCGTAAAATATTTGCCAATTACGCCAATGTAAGGACTGTTAAAAACCTAACGTTCATCAACCTGCATCTCGCTAAAATCTATGTTGTAAGTTTGTTAGTTACCAACACCTTGGAGGAAAATGGTGACATTAGGAGCAAGCTTTTGAATATTGAATCAACTGTAACATGTAAAGACATACATTGGGGAATCAGGCATGTTGCCATCTCAAAATGGAAAATTCACAATAGGTATATTGAAATCACACATATTGTATCTTGGTGGAAAACTGCCCCTGTTGGTTTCGTTTTAGGAAAAAATAGATATAGGCATCTAATGTAGAAAAGTCTGTCGAGTCCTCGACTTCCAATTCAAGTGGGTATATATGATTTACATGGTCAGTGTTTTATTACAGAAAAGAAAAAAACAACAAGATGTCAGTTGTTTTTTGCCTGTTTTGACAAGTTCTTTATTAAAGTCATCCTCTAATGAAAACAAAAGTTACCCAACAGAGAGAGCCACAGTTTAGTTCCATGCGTATGCCTTTAATTGGGTAGAAAATCACCAGCAAAGTCTACGGAGATATTGTCAAAGAAAAAGTGAGCTGTGATAATTTTACGATTTCTTACTTCACATTTTTATTCTTTGATTTGGATGAGTTGTTGATGTTGGAGACTGAAATTGAGAAAACATTCACAAAATATCTCCTATTTTGAAATGGATAATCGTATTTCCTTTATAATGTCTCATCAAATATCGATACAGATTATTTACGGTTCATCTGGAAGGCAGGAACTATATATTAGACAGTTTAGTCAACTGATATTTACAAACAATTTTATACGCTAACATATTAAGACAGGTTTGGCTGGTTACATCTTATGCTGTGATGTATTATATATATTTTGCAACATAACAAAATATTTGAACTTGAAATTTGCTCGTTAATTATGTCAGCAACAGATATCTTTTGGACATCCAGTAACATATGGTAGGTAACAATCACACACTGAGTAAAGTAGGTCTTTTTTAAATCGCACATATCTTAAGCCAGGTTCAAAATTACCATGATGAAATTTTGTTTATAATATTTAATTACCCAATTTATTACACACACTGACCTTAAAGCATGCTTTCACACAGATGCTTGTTGATATCTGTAAACAAGTGTGATGAACATGGAGTTTGAATCACAGCACATCTTGTTCTGTAAATAAAAGACATATATTTTCTTCTCTTGTAGTGGTTTTAGTTCTGGCGGGGATATTGATGTATGACAAACACGCCGATATCAGCAGTGCTGGAGAATTCGGGCGGAAGAAATCCTGGTCGGTTGTTGCGATGATCGTTTCTCTGGTTTTCTTTGGCCTGTCAGTTCTTGTGTGTGATCAGAGACTGTTAAATGTAAAAAAGACGTTCCCTTGGTTGACAGTGATTGGTGTTGCATTGTTGGTAAGGTACCTGTATGATATGATACCGGAACAGCGCCGCTGCCGACACGTTATACTTTGGTGTCTTCACGTCGCCATAACGACGCTGTTTAGCGTTGGTCTATTCGGCTGTACCTGGTTCAGCATGTCCAGTACACGGGACAGTAATGTGACGGTTGACATGGCAATGTGGTTCCAGTGTCGTTATCAGTATTCTCTTACATGTTGTAGTGGTACAACTTACTTTTACACAGATATACCAGGTAAAACAATTACTTACCTGCAAACCAGTTATCGTTAGATTCTCATATTATCCAGGAAATGTGTAAAATATGTATTGTCCAGGTAAAACGAATCTAGGTCTCCTCTGAATGGTATTTAATCAATTTCAAATTTAACAAAATTTTTTTTTACACCTCTTGAATTTATACCGCATATCTAATAATTATGGTATGCGGATATACGTGTTATATCTCAGGGACATAGACACCCCTGCCTTGCACAGTCTTCCGCTGCCTTGTGGGATACAGGTTCTCGTCAGAACCAAAAGCTAAGGGAGACAACCCTGACAGAAACCATGCAAATGTGGAGGCATTGAGGGCGGTTGCTGAATGGAACACCCATCATCTACCGGCCATCCGCTACAAGGACTAATAGTCTGCGCCTGTCTCGACTTGTTCTTGCCGGTGTAGGAATACTATTAAATCCTGAAAGAGTGTCGCTAGTAACTTGCAAAAGCTATCGACACTTCATCATCCTTTGCAAGCAGTTTTTCATGAAATGTACAACCGAGCTGCAGACAGGAATGACATGAAGGCTTTCTACAATGGGCTCAAGGAAGTTTGGGGACCCCAGAAAAAAGGACCTGTACAACTGAAGTCAGCGGACGGGCTGGAAACAATCTCAGACAACAAAGAAGTTCTGGCTAGATGGAGTGAACACTTCCAGAAGCTCTTAAATGTTCCCGGAGAGATTCAGACTGAAGCCCTTGACAACATACAGCAGCGGACCACCAAACACTACCTTGATGAGACTCCATCCATGAACGAGGTGACAAAAGCTATTGCTGGATTGAAAGATGGCAGAGCCCCCGGTGAAGATGGAATACCCGCGGAAGTATGGAAACATGGAGGTACCAAATTAGTGGACAGGCTGCACCAGCTGATATGCAGTGCATGGGATGAAGGTACAGTTCCACAAGCCTGGAAGGATGCAAGTATTGTAACCATCTACAAGAAAGGAGACAGGTCAGATTGCGGAAACTATCGAGGAATCTCTCTGTTGTCCATTGCTGGCAAAATCTTCGCTAGGATCCTTCTGAACAGACTCTCCAAGCATGTCACTCCAGAAATAGTTCCCGAGTCACAGTGTGGTTTCAGGCCCAAAAGGAGCACCATCGACATGATCTTCAGCCTCCGACAGTTACAAGAAAAGTGTATCGAGCAGGACCAGCCACTGTACGTTGTATTTGTAGACTTCACTAAAGCCTTTGATACAGTTGGAAGAACAGGTCTGTGGCAGCTGCTGAGGAAGTATGGATGCCCTGATAAGTTCACATCCATGATTGAGTCGCTGCACACAGGGATGAAGGCCAAAGTCAGCGATGGAGTGGAAACATCCGATGCTTTTGAAGTTACAAATGGAGTCAAACAAGGCTGTGTACTAGCACCTACTCTCTTCTCCATATTCCTATCAGCGATGCTGGATGAAGCTTTCAGAGACTTGACAGATGGTGTCTACATCCAGTCAAGGCAAGATGCAGACCTCTTTAAGGTCACACACTTCAAGGCAAGAACCAAGAGCATCCAGGTACTGATAAGGGAGCTACTCTTCGCAGATGACAGTGCCGTACTTGCCCACTCACCACAGGAAATTCAACGCATAGTAAATGCCTTCTCGGAAGCATCAAAGAAATTTGGACTGAAGATAAACATCAAGAAAACTGAAGTGCTATACCAACCAGACTCTTCAAAGTCCCAGGAGGTGGATATACTGGTCGATGGTATCAAACTAAATTCTGTCCCAGAGTTCACCTATCTTGGTAGCACAGCAGCGAAAGATGGGCGTATTGATGCCGAAATACAGAGAAGAATTGCTAAGGCCAGTTCATCTTTTGGTAGATTACATCAGAGACTCTGGAACAACCATCATGTTTCATTGAAGGTGAAAGGAAAGATATACAGAGCCATTGTCATATCCACTCTCTTGTATGGAGCCGAGTCGTGGACAGTATACAGAAGCCATGTGAAGAAGCTTCATGCTTTTATGATGCGGCACCTTAGAACCATCATGAAAGTAACCTGGAAAGACAAAGTTACCAACAAGGAAATACTCGAAAGAACTGGATTAACACCCATGGAAGACATGCTGATCAGAAAGAACCTTCGATGGACAGGGCACATCATGAGGATGCCGCAAGACCGACTTCCAAAACAGATCCTGTTCTCACAGCTTCCAGTTGGTAGTAGGAAGAGAGGCAGACCCCGACTACGGTTTAAAGATACAGTCAAAAGAAATTTGAAACGGAGGAACATCAACTTGAATTCCTGGCCAGAGTTGTGTAATGACAGAAGCATATGGAGATCAGCGGTTGGATAGAACAGAGGAACAGACTTTGTCGCATTGCGACCGTCAGCATAGTAGTAGTATCTAATAATAATACTGATAAGAAGATGACACATAACAATAGGACTTTTCACACATGTTTTCATCAATTAGTAAAAAAGGCCTAGTTAACAAAATGACATTGTGAGATTAGAAATGGGTCGCACAGATTGCTTTGTGTGTTGGAGTTCCAGCTAAACTCACTTACAGATGCCAAGTTTAATGGTTTAACCAATGACTGGCAGAATTTAAAGTTTAAAATTATGTATATTTTAAAAGGGTTTATTTCAGACAGTGAAGTAGACCTATTCATATTTGAATTAATAGAATTTATATTTGATTGGGTAAAATATGAGTATCATAGAAAAAAAGAATAGAGATCATTAAGACATGTTCATAAAATGGATAGAAATTGCCTCATTGTGTATGTACCTTCGTTTTCAGGCTGGTTTTTCACCTGTCGAGATATCACCATGGTAGCATATGCCCTGTGTTTGCTGGCTCTTACTTTCAGTTCCATTCTCATGTTTATTCCGACATTCCGAACACCACTTTTTATCACCCAAATATGTTCAGGTAGTATTTCAATCAGAATATCTTATATCTAATATCTACAACTTGTGAGTATATGTGTATTTTTAACATATCATGAAACGAAAAAAAAAAATGTTAAATGGATTTTGTAAGAAACCTTTAGAATGGATGAAACAAGCAAATTTGAAGAAAAATTTTATCATGAGCTTTAGAAATTAATTATTGGAAATTATATTATTGATAAAGAATGCATCTGCCATGGAGAAATCCAAAGAGTGTGAAATGGGTCACGATTCTTTTCATCGCGATGTTTTAGGTGTTGCGTTGGTGGTCAGCTGTGTCCAATACATCATCAACATAAATAGTGAAGCCGATGTGCACTTACACTTCAGGGCTGCCTTCATCATTAGTGTTGTCGTCGCTGTCACTTTCATATGCCTCTATTTGGTAGTTGTAACAGGTAAGTATTGCGCTGAACATTTGTCAATGTTATGATAATTTATTTACTTATGATTTCAGTAGTTGATAACTCCTTGTCAAGAGTAGGTTGCACTGTCCAGGAAAAGTGATAACCTTTTTTAGTTATAGTAATGACGATGGGACATTGTGTGTAAAGTCATGGAAGTTGATGGAAATTTATTGGGAGCTGATAGGTCAGAGCAGTGACGATGGGACATTGTGTGTAAGGTCATGGAAGTTGATGGAAATTTATTGAAAAATGATAGGTCTGTGCCGTTGCATGGTCACCAAGATTAAAATGTCTAATTGGTCACTCTACAAAATAGGTTTGTTAAATTGTCATTGATCAGATGATACAATATTGTCAGTCTCATTGATCAGATGATACAATTTTGTCAGTCTCATTGATCAGATGACATGATATTGTCTGTCTCATTGATCAGATGACATGATATTGTCTGTCTCATTGATCAGATGATACAATATTGTCTGTCTCATTGATCAGATGACATGATATTGTCAGTCTCATTGATCAGATGACATGATATTGTGTGTCTCATTGATCAGATGACATGATATTGTGTGTCTCATTGATCAGATGACATGATATTGTCAGTCTCATTGATCAGATGACATGATATTGTCAGTCTCATTGATCAGATGACATGATATTGTCAGTCTCATTGATCAGATGACATGATATTGTGTGTCTCATTGATCAGATGACATGATATTGTCTGTCTCATTGATCAGATGACATTTCAAAATATTTGTTTTTCAGAATGCCAGCAGATTCACCCAGACTCGGACAGCAGTATGACAGAACCTCTCATACCACGGTCAAATGAAAGAGGTATATATTGTTGTCATTTTAGATACGTTTCTCGGGGAATTCTCTCTCATGCCAAACCCACATACATTTAGCATTCTCACCACACGATGATGACTTGTGAACAAAGAATTCGACCTGACGAATTTTTCGATATGGGAACAAATGAATTCAAACAGGATAATATTTACCACACGTTGAATGGTGAAATGCTCAAAATCAGTGCATTTGTTTAGAAAATGTCTTGATGTGCAATAAACGCTATATACATTAAAGTTTGGAGGCAGTTCTTTTGAGAACAAAATCCAGAACCTAGGAACAGTGTCACAACCAGAAAACCACTGAAAATATGCATTGCCCTTTTATTATTTTTTTTAACATGCAACAATAAACATTCTTCTAAACATGTGACTATAGCATTGTCCCTGTCATATCTTCTAAACATGTGACTATAGCATTGTCCCTGTCTAAACATGTGACTATAGCATTGTCCCTGTCTAAACATGTGACTATAGCATTGTCCCTGTCTAAACATGTGACTATAGCATTGTCCCTGTCTAAACATGTGACTATAGCATTGTCCCTGTCTAAACATGTGACTATAGCATTGTCCCTGTCTAAACATGTGACTATAGCATTGTCCCTGTCTAAACATGTGACTATAGCATTGTCCCTGTCATATCTTCTAGACATTTAGACATAGGTAGAAAGTGTACTTTTTTCCCATTTTTGGCAGTTATCCGCTCCACTGTTCATTCTAGATATTTTTGATTTACATGTGTATGAGGTATTCACAGCTTTACTGTGTCATCTGTACTAAAGTGTATTATTTTGGTTTGAATTTCAGTTGAGGACTGGTCTTGGAGAAAGCTGTTTATTTTGTGGAAGGAGAGGTTGAATCATAGTAAGTCTGATACATAATATCTGTAATACACAATCGTAGAATTGAACCAAATGACAATGTAATACATCATGCTTATCTCATGGATTTCATACATTCCTTTTCTGTAGGGAAATCTCGAATGGAAGCTCGAAATTCTGTGAACGAAACAGGTATGTGCAACTTATCTACACTAATAGACTTTTATGCAGCATATTCACACATATTCATTAATCTTGTTTTATTTCAAGAAGTTTGAGCAATACATTTGTTTTCTGTCTTGACAAACTCCATTTCCAGGTGTAAGTCTTTAATATGATCATAATCCCCTTAATATGAATTATCCGTCTCCTCGTTTGGACATCATTCTGATCTCATTGACATTTCTTCTTCAACTTTTGATGCTGGTTTTTATGCCAGCTCTCAAATCAGAATTGTGGAATTTTACCTAGATTTACGATGTGGGAATTGGTTAAATGGTAATTCTATAGTGATACAGATACAAGATTAACCTCTTACATTATAAAATTTTACAGTGTAATGTTTGTATGATAAACCTTTTACAGTGTAATGTTTGTATGATAAACCTTTTACAGTGTAATGTTTGTATGATAAACCTTTTACAGTGTAATAATTGTATGATGAACCTTCCACAGTGTAATAGTTGTATGATAAACCTTCCACAGTGTAATACTTGTATGATAAACCTTCCAGTGTAATAGTAGATGATAAACCTTTTACAGTGTAATAGTTGTATGATAAACCTTTTACAGTGATAAACCTTTTACAGTGTAATAGTTGTATGATAAACTTTCAACAGTGTAATAGTTGTATGATAAACCTTTTACAGTGTAATAGTTGTATGATAAACCTTTTACAGTGTAATAGTTGTATGATAAACCTTTTACAGTGTAATAGTTGTATGATAAACCTTTTACAGTGTAATAGTTGTATGATAAACCTTTTACAGTGTAATAGTTGTATGATAAACCTTTTACAGTGTAATAGTTGTATGATAAACCTTTACAGTGTAATATTTGTATGATAAATATTTTACAGTGTAATAGTTGTATGATAAACCTTTTACAGTGTAATAGTTGTATGATAAACCTTTTACAGTGTAATAGTTGTATGATAAACCTTTTACAGTGTAATAGTTGTATGATAAACCTTTTACAGAACCTTTTACAGTGTAATAGTTGTATGATAAACCTTTTACAGTGTAATAGTTGTATGATAAACCTTTTACAGTGTAATAGTTGTATGATAAACCTTTTACAGTGTAATAGTTGTATGATAAACCTTTTACAGTGTAATAGTTGTATGATAAACCTTTTACAGTGTAATGTTTGTATGATAAACCTTTTACAGTGTAATAGTTGTATGATAAACCTTTTACAGTGTAATGTTTGTATGATAAACCTTTTACAGTGTAATAGTTGTATGATAAACCGTTTACAGTGTAATAGTTGTATGATTAACCTTTTACAGTGTAATAGTTGTATGATAAACCTTTTACAGTGTAATAGTTGTATGATAAACCTTCCACAGTATAATACTTGTATGATAAACCTTCCACAGTATAATACTTGTATGATAAACCTTCCACAGTGTAATACTTGTATGATAAACCTTTTACAGTGTAATACTTGTATGATAAACCTTCCACAGTGTAATACCTTTTACAGTATGATAAACCTTTTACAGTGTAATGTTTGTATGATAAACCTTTTACAGTGTAATGTTTGTATGATAAACCTTTTACAGTGTAATGTTTGTATGATAAACCTTTTACAGTGTAATAGTAGATGATAAACCTTTTACAGTGTAATAGTTGTATGATAAACCTTTTACAGTGTAATAGTTGTATGATAAACCTTTTGTATGATAAACCTTTTACAGTGTAATACTTGTATGATAAATATTTGACACCATAAAATGCTGATATCCTCCTTTTTGAATAATTTAAGTGACATATTATTGCAAAGTGAATGTGTTATATTTGCAGAATTAATGTAATATTTGTCTGGTGATTATTTTTGTAGTGTTAATTACTTGTATGACGAAATTTTAACCAATAATTTAAAATATTTCAGAGTGTGACGTATGCATGATGAATCCAAAGGACACCCGACTTCATCCTTGTGGTCATACCTGCTGCAGAGTGTGTGCAGAACAACAGCAACGATGCCACATGTGCAGAGGAGAGATAGAAGATCGACATATTTTTTACCTATGAAAGATAAAAACATGAAGATAAAGATGTTGTCACTATAACCAATGTATCGGGGCCATCAGTAGGGTATGGGGGATGGGGACAGTTATGAACCTGCACTGTCTAACCCATGTCAACATACCCCCCACCCTCCCTGGGAAACATCACATTAAAATACTGTTTTCTATCCTTAATTCTAAAAGTTACACTCTGCAGGCACTGTAGAGTCAACATCCTTAACATCCTAGAGAAATATTTCAACTTGTAATTTATGTAAAATTGAGTGTTTAAATAAGAAATGATATGTTTTTAGCATGCATGCTGAATGCCAAGCATTTTGCAAGACTGCTACTTCTATCATTATTGTTCTCTCCTAATATTGGCTTCAGCAAGATAAAAGTTATCAATTTAATATCTGGAAACAGATTCCATCATTTTTTTCTTTAAATTTTTTTCTTAGTTCACAATCATCAGAGTGTGGACTATTCAAATTGTCCTATGTTCATATCCGTCGTCATCAGTAATTCTTGTGTACACAGTATTACCTGAGAAGATCTGGATGGATCCCTATAGAATTTGCATGAATGACCCCTTGGTACCTAGTTATGACTTTTGATTTTTGGAACTGGACAGGAAAACAAAATAGCCAGCGGGCGACCATCTTGGATTTGGCAGTTAAAAATAGCTCAAAATTCATATAAATAACACAAAAAAGGGTCAGAAAAGAAGGGGAAAGATCTAACTTTTAAAGAAACAAATGAAGATCAAATGATGGAGGGTGCCAAGATCCCTCTAGGACCTCTTGTTCCTTTAGGGGTTAATAGTTATAGATTAGTAGCCATTCTTTATCATGATTGGTCAATTATTTATGCATTTTTAAGTGGTGCTACCATTGTTCATTATGGCAAAATGCTTCCAGAGTTGGTACTGCCATCTTTCATCATGGCAGAATACGCCTCTCAAAAGATGGTGCTCTCAACCTTTACCATTGACTGTGAACTAGAAATTAGGTTTGTTATAACAATATCATAAGTGTTATATGTCAACAACATCGAAGTAGTAAGACCAAGGTTATGGTCTCGCAAACCTGTTTGACTTCACAAATAGACACTTAAAGTTCTCTTAAACCTAGAAAACATTGGAGAAAATTACAAAAAAATTTTGCTACCTATCGTTAAGTGCGAAGACGACGCATTCCGATGATCGGCCCTGGGATACTTTATGGACAGGATAACATGTTTAATTAACATTACATCCATGACTACACTTCAGAATCAGACTCGTACGATACCAAATGAGAGATATACCAGTATTGTGTCATTCATTTTCTTTAAAAAAACCATCAATACCATAGATGAGTGTCCCTATGACTGTGAAATGTTTGCTTTTTTGGTGAATGAGAGCTAAAAGTTATTTACATAAAAATATATATACATGAACAGCTTGAATTACTATAGTGCAATTTGTTATCTTATCTGTTTGTTAAATTTTTTGTTTTGCCTCATAAATTTAATCATGTGGATTGGCACAAATTAAATCAACTTATTGAGCCCCCCCCCCCCCCCCCCCCCCCCCCCCCCCCCCCCACATATATGTAAAAGTTGCGTGATTAAACTAAAAAATCTCTATCAACATACAATCACCATATCAAAAAAATGTTGTTAGCAAAGTCACTGATATCCTCTTGATTGAGAAACAATAACAAACTTTGAATTCTTTCGATTTGAAACAGGTTGTGTTAAAAAAACTAGACAAAAAGAAACTACTAAATATTAGATATATATCATGGCTCAACAAGACGTCAGTCGAAATTTTTTATTATTTTTTTTTCAGAGTGAAATGCAGTAAGCATTTCAGGGATTTTTATACAATTTGGATGTTGGTGAATATCTGTCATTTGTTGTAACATTGCTTTTGTTTATCAAATGTTTACATACTTGTCATAATTATTGTCATATTATTTTTTTATCTAATATTATTACTTTATTATATTTAAATTTTTTATCTACTTTACGCTTCAAAATTTAAGAATTCCATCATTTACTTGCTTGTATGTTTTAATCATGTTGCAAATATTTATATCACTATTAATCACACCACTTAACGGTTAATGACTTGAGAATACAGCTTGTGTAGACAATCAGACATGGTCAGTGATTATCGCCACTTTGTGTCTAGCCCTTGCCTGGCCATTGTTCACGCTTCCGCCGAGCTGTGAAAACTGCCATGGGACATTCAAGTTTTCTCGTACAGGTAAATTTTTTGACTTCGATTCATGTGTTGTGATTTCTAATGGTTTCTTAACCATGGGACCGGGAAAAAAGTTCGAAACAGCGAGAACTTTGATTCATAAAAGTTTGAGTCATAAATGTGAAATTAGTAGTATTATATAGGGGAAAAAAATCCGGACCTGACAAAAAAATTGAAGTTCGACTCATCAAAGTTTTACTGTATATAACACAGGACAGATGTAATGTTTTGCACCACCATTTAATGGTGTGTTCAAATCACACAGTGTTTGCAGTTTGTCGTGCCAAAATTTCGTGTGAAGTACTGCATGGATGGATCTGTCTCAGGTTTAAAACGAAAATTCTCTTTGTTTCCTTCTTGTTTCATTTTGATTGGGCGACTGATCAGAGCAGCAGAATGGCTGATAGACAAAATTTGATCCTGAAATTTTGTAATCAGTTCTTGGGAAATGTGTAAATCAGTCTTGATCATGTTTAGTATCCTTTCCATCATGCACACATGGACAGTAATCTTTCATATTCTGGTAAAATCGTTCAATTTTGTAAATTTAATTCTATCATCCAAAAACATGGACAATAATCTTTCATATTCTGGTAAAATTGTTCAATTTTGTAAAATTTTATTCTATCATCCAAAAACATGGACAATAATCTTTCATATTCTGGTAAAATTGTTCAATTTTGTAAAATTTTATTCTATCATCCAAATACATGGACAATAATCTTTCATATTCTGGTAAAATCGTTCAATTTTGTAAAATTTTATTCTATCATCCAAATTATATGCTTGACTAAAGAATCAACAGTGCAATTTTTTACAGAATACTCACACAATTTTCTTGATTTGTTTTATCAGATTGAGTCATATATATTTATATATCATTCATTTGCAGATAAAGAATAAATCTTCTGGTTTTTGTTTGAGTGCTCTTTTTTGACAAATTTTGCATTGTTCAATGCAAATTCTTCATCAATCTATTACTTTCTTAACAATTCAAGTTAGTCTTGGACCAAAAAAACAAAAAATATATGATTCTAGAAAAACTTATTAATGGTGAGGTAATGTCCCTGTAATTTCAAATAACAACATGTTTCTTGTGATATTTCAGATTAAAACACTTAAAGATGATTTTCAATTACCGGTAGTTCACACCTCTGAGGCGATAGTTAAATCTCTCCACAAAATATGTGAAATCAAAATCGATGACACAAGAACAAAATGTGTACAAAAGAAAGGTTGACATGGAAATCCTTCGAATTTGAGGCCTGTAAGTTTTCATGTTCATCCAACATTTAAACATCAGAGAATTTAGCCAATATATTGAATATCCTTTTGAAAGGAAAAGTAGAAATATTTGGTCTGAACATTTCTACAACCCCAGGAGATTAACCTCATTTATGTAAGAAAGAAATGTCCTTCTTCGATGATGTTTCAGTCTAAATTTAGCTGAAATCCATCAAAACCATAGGGCGTAGAATTTCGTAGAATGCAAGTATAAAGGAGAATATAAAACCAGGTGTGAAGGTAAAGGGTAAACATTTCATCCACGACACCTGCCATGTGCATCATGTTCAAATCAAATATTAAGTAATATCAGATTCTCAGATGAGAACACATTTAAGAACAATAAAACATTATTTCTCTTCTCCCAAGGATATGCTGGACCAAATCTAGTTAAAATATCCTCAGCTGTTCATGACTAGTAGTGATATCTAGGAAAAGTTGACAAATTCATTCTATTTCCACTTTGAGACCCGCCCTCTCACCAACCATTTATATAAAACTGATTTCACTTCTCCCAAGGATGCTTCAGACCAAATCTAGTCATAACTTCCTCAGCTGTTCAAGACTAGTAGTGCTATCTAGGAAAAGTTGACAAAGTTATTCTATATCCACTATGAAGCCCCGCCCTCTTGCCCACTGTTTAACCATGCTTCAAACCATTGAGCCTCATCCCTCCAACCCAAGGACGAGACCCACTGTTTATACAATATAAAACTATTTCCTCTTCCACAACAATGCTCAGACCAAAAATCTGCTCCGTCATTCATAGCAAGTAGCCAGACATCGGACACTGTGGTATCCCGATAGCTCTCTTGTTTCCTTGTGTGGTCATGGTAGCAACCAGAAAACTTCCTCATTGTCTCCTGCAATGGACCCTGTGGTTTTTTTGGTTCTCTTCATCTTTCAGTAAAGTCGTGATATGGCTAATAATCTCATGTACTGATCTCATCAATTGCGACAAGTTAAGACAACAGGTTGGAAAGTAGGATTATTGCTATCATTAAAAGGAAAGTTCATGATAAGGGAATTGTCGTAATCGTGCTTGTCATACAGCTAGATGGATAATTGTCCCTGTTGGTCTCGTTGGAAAATATTGGAGTAAGATGATGTAAAGGTTGTTCATGTCTTCAATTTCTCATTAACAGTTAAAAGGACGTAGTCAATAGCTTTTATTTGAAGATATCATCACTATCTAAAGAAAAATTGACATGTTTTCATCTTTGATAATTTCAATCTTGTATGAAAACAAAATACAAGCCAGAGAGGGGCAATTTTTCTTCCTGTGAGCATGCCAATAGTCAGTTTGAAGGTTCAAACATCTCTGTAGTTATATACAACTCTCTATCCAAATTTTCATTTCTTTTTAGCAATAACAAGACTTTAAACTTGTTTTTAACAAAGGAACACAATTTGTTTCATTCACTTCTGATATCTTTCCCAATACACATTTTTTTTCTCAGGTAAAACTAAGATATTGTGATCTTGATGGGTCAAAACATAACAGAGAGCACAGCAGGTTATAGTAATATTTATCACAAACACAACGTGAATTGTTGTGATAAACAAATACAAATTATCAGAATTAAAAATAACACAACAGTCATAACAATCATACATACATCAAACAGAAATAATGGAATGAATTATTATCATCGTATGTAAATTATTATTATAAATACACACCTTATTGTTAATAAGAAATGAAGTGTATTATTACAAACAAATAGTATAGTAGCTTATACACTACTATCATATCTACATACCTCAGGATATGAAAAAATCTTTTATGATAATTGGGTTTGCATCCTTGAAAAATGTAGTGACAGAATTGTTGTCTTGCAGCTGCCCTGTTCAATGGTCTGGGACAACTAAATTTCACAAATCACTACCACGAAATATATTCCTAAAAGTTTACAATGAAAAATGTTTCCTAATCAATTGTCAATCAATAAAATATTGATTCTGACATTTGATTTCTTTCCACTTTGAGGAGAAATCATCGTGATTTAGTGCCAGCTTCCAGTGGTGGTGAATACATGGTGTTCCCTTACACCCTACAGGATCATACTGACGGCTAAACAATGGTTAGGTTTTCTGTCTGGGACCCATGAAATGTCCAACTGCAAATCTTTAGTTCTTTTCATGACCTCACAATCTGCTGATTTTAATCATGACGTCATTACATGATGAAAAGTCATGTACAAGCTGCCGAATTTATCCTGATATGCAGAGAAGATAGGAACATACTGATGAGTTTATCATGACGACATGACATGTAGAAAAGAGTGCATGTTATAGGCTGCTGGGTGTTAACAACCTTTCAAAAACAGAACTTTACATCAACAAGTTAAACCAATATTAATGAAAAAAATAACTGATAAACTGTACACATGTGTGCATCACACAAACCTGTCTTGTAATTATTATCAGGTAAAACTACACAAATAATCTCATATAAAACATTTTGGCCATGAAGTAATATACCAGCAAACGATTTGACTATAATGAGAATCATTATAAAACGTTCTTCACACCCTTTCTTCATTAAAATAATTTGCATACGAAACAGATACAAACTTAAGACAAACAATTAAAATAATTGGTAACATTATATGGTTATGAAAACAATATTATCATGTGTTGATCTTCTTACTCATCAGATAAAGGTTACACTATAATAGCACATTTGTCTCATTTATGTGATAAAAATCAAATTTTAAAGAAATTTCAAAAGCACAGCAATTTAGCACACTGAACAAAGTCAACGGGTGAAAAAGAAAAATAAGTGATGAAAGTTATATACATTTCTGCAGCGTAGCACCATTATAATTGTTACTAATGGATAATTTGGCTCATCTTTTCAAAAAATTAAAAAAATTAGAGCTCTGCTTCTGTACACATGTGCACACTCAGTGGCCTATATTATCATATACATTGCCTGTAAATAATACCTGGAGTCTCTCTCCGTCTCTCTCCATCTCTCTCTATCTCTCTCTATCTCTCTCTAAAAATGTAGTCACTTGTTTTGTTATTTTTCTATATGTGATATTTAATTAGTATCTGAGGGAGCTGAAAATAAAAACATATCACAATCACATTCAGTTTCCTCATTTTCAGCCACAATTTCTCCAATTGTATCTTTTATGTCAAGCCTAAATCTTTCTGAATACGTTAAACATTTAAGTCATGGACTGAACAAGTTCACTTACCAGTGAACACACTCATTGTAACTTATATAACAAAACATAAAAACAACCATCAATAATCAACCTAGTCAGTTAGATCAGGTTGGAATAAAAACTTGTTTACCCTACGACTAGATTTATTTTAAAAATTTCGAGGCATTTTAAATCAAAAGATATAAATCAATATGTTAAAATCATGTTTAAATTAAAAGGAAACCGGGTCAAGTATGTGTGTGTAAAATGAACACTCATGTTAAAGACTAAAAATAAAGAATAAAATATGTAAATATAACTGCATTTCCTTTAGAAATAGCACTGTAAAATTATAGATCACTCGTTAATTTCACTGAAAGTGGGTCAAGGATGTCCATTTACACAAATTAATAGTCTATCACCCTAGTAGCCCAGCAATTCAGAAAATTGCGAACTTTCAATTATCAATTTATAAACTCATCCCAGCATGCTATTGACCGAACACCGTGACCTTTAATGCAAGAACTGTAGTATTCAGAAGTTGGGTAAAAATTTAAACAATTTGACTCATGTGATCTTGAAAATCACTAGTGAGATGTGCTGGTCATGGAAACAGGTTTATCAGGTGTGAGATGTTCTAGTCATGGAAACAGTCAGGTTTATCAGGTGTGAGATGTTCTAGTCATGGAAACAGTCAGGTTATCAGGTGTGAGATGTGCTGGTCATGGAAACAGTCAGGTTTATCAGGTGTGAGATGTGCTGGTCATGGAAACAGTCAGGTTTATCAGGTGTGAGATGTGCTGGTCATGGAAACAGTCAGGTTTATCAGGTGCGAGATGTGCTGATCATGGACACAGTCAGGTTTATCAGGTGCGAGATGTGCTGGTCATGGAAACAGTCAGGTTTATCAGGTGCGAGATGTGCTGGTCACAGAAACAGTCAGGTTTATCAGGTGTGAGATGTGCTGGTCATGGAAACAGTCAGGTTATCAGGTGTGAGATGTGCTGGTCACAGAAACAGTCAGGTTATCAGGTGTGAGATGTGCTGGTCATGGAAACAGTCAGGTTTATCAGGTGTGAGATGTGCTGGTCACAAAAACAGTCAGGTTATCAGGTGCGAGATGTGCCGGTCCTCAGAGACAGGTTTATTATCAGTGGTTAAATATGTTGCTCTTCTGGGACAGCCATGTTTATCTGGTAATTAGAAGGATCTTCTATGGACGGTGCCATTCCTGCATACTTTGCCTGTATTTTATTTCCCAGGACACCGAAAGTGAAGAATCCTACTCCTGACCCTACAGCAGTTGATACAAAAGCTGTTTTAATAAAATAGTTTAAGGAAGGACTGAGGGTTGACATCTTGGTCCATGTATCCAGAATATCACCTTGAGTGGCCAAATAACTAATTCTGACCTTGATTAACATGTGTTGGGGAAATAGACAACTATAACATGGGTTGGTGAAGTGGACAATTATAACATGGGTTGGTGAAATGGACAACTATAACATGGGTTGGTGAAATAGACAACTATAACATGGGTTGGTGAAGTGGACAATTATAACATGGGTTGGTGAAGTGGACAATTATAACATGGGTTGGTGAAGTGGACAACTATAACATGGGTTGGTGAAGTGGACAACCATAACATGGGTTGGTGAAGTGGACAACTATAACATGGGTTGGTGAAATGGACAACTATAACATGGGTTGGTGAAGTGGACAACTATAACATGGGTTGGTGAAGTGGACAACTATAACATGGGTTGGTGAAGTGGACAACTATAACATGGGTTGGTGAAGTGGACAACTATAACATGGGTTGGAGAAATAGACAACTATAACATGGGTTGGTGAAGTGGACAACTATAACATGGGTTGGTGAAGTGGACAACTATAACATGGGTTGGTGAAATGGACAATTATAACATGGGTTGGTGAAGTGGACAATTATAACATGGGTTGGTGAAATGGACAATTATAACATGGGTTGGTGAAATGGACAATTATAACATGGGTTGGTGAAGTGGACAATTATAACATGGGTTGGTGAAGTGGACAATTATAACATGGGTTGGTGAAGTGGACAATTATAACATGTTGGTGAAGATGGACAATTATAACATGGGTTGGTGAAGTGGACAATTATAACATGGGTTGGTGAAGTGGACAACTATAACATGGGTTGGTGAAGTGGACAACTATAACATGGGTTGGTGAAATGGACAACTATAACATGGGTTGGTGAAGTGGACAACTATAACATGGGTTGGTGAAGTGGACAATTATAACATGGGTTGGTGAAGTGGACAATTATAACATGGGTTGGTGAAGTGGACAATTATAACATGGGTTGGTGAAGTGGACAACTATAACATGGGTTGGTGAAGTGGACAACTATAACATGGGTTGGTGAAGTGGACAATTATAACATGGGTTGGTGAAATGGACAATTATAACATGGGTTGGTGAAATGGACAATTATAACATGGGTTGGTGAAATGGACAACTATAACATGGGTTGGTGAAGTGGACAATTATCAGTTGGGTTGGTGATATGGACAACTATAACATGGGTTGGTGAAGTGGACAATTATAACATGGGTTGGTGAAATGGACAACTATAACATGGGTTGGTGAAGTGGACAACTATAACATGGGTTGGTGAAGTGGACAACTATAACATGGGTTGGTGAAGTGGTTGGTGAAGTGGACAACTATAACATGGGTTGGTGAAGTGGACAACTATAACATGGGTTGGTGAAATGGACAACTATAACATGGGTTGGTGAAGTGGACAATTATAACATGGGTTGGTGAAATGGACAACTATAACATGGGTTGGTGAAGTGGACAACTATAACATGGGTTGGTGAAGTGGACAACTATAACATGGGTTGGTGAAGTGGACAACTATAACATGGGTTGGTGAAGTGGACAATTATAACATGGGTTGGTGAAATGGACAACTATAACATGGGTTGGTGAAGTGGACAATTATAACATGGGTTGGTGAAGTGGACAATTATAACATGGGTTGGTGAAATGGACAATTATAACATGGGTTGGTGAAATGGACAACTATAACATGGGTTGGTGAAGTGGACAACTATAACATGGGTTGGTGAAGTGGACAATTATAACATGGGTTGGTGAAGTGGACAATTATAACATGGGTTGGTGAAGTGGACAACTATAACATGGATTGGTGAAGTGGACAATTATAACATGGGTTGGTGAAATGGACAATTATAACATGGGTTGGTGAAATGGACAACTATAACATGGGTTGGTGAAGTGGACAACTATAACATGGGTTGGTGAAATGGACAACTATAACATGGGTTGGTGAAGTGGACAACTATAACATGGGTTGGTGAAATGGACAATTATAACATGGGTTGGTGAAATGGACAACTATAACATGGGTTGGTGAAGTGGACAATTATAACATGGGTTGGTGAAGTGGACAACTATAACATGGGTTTGGGAAGTGGACAATTATAACATGGGTTGGTGAAGTGGACAACTATAACATGGGTTGGTGAAGTGGACAATTATAACATGGGTTGGTGAAATGGACAACTATAACATGGGTTGGTGAAGTGGACAATTATAACATGGGTTGGTGAAATGGACAACTATAACATGGGTTGGTGAAGTGGACAACTATAAGATGGGTTGGTGAAGTGGACAACTAAAACATGGGTTGGTGAAGTGGACAACTATAACATGGGTTGGTGAAGTGGACAACTATAACATGGGTTGGTGAAGTGGACAATTATAACATGGGTTGGTGAAATGGACAATTATAACATGGGTTGGTGAAGTGGACAATTATAACATGGGTTGGTGAAGTGGACAACTATAACATGGGTTGGTGAAGTGGACAATTATAACATGGGTTGGTGAAGTGGACAACTATAACATGTGTTGGGGAAATAGACAACTATAACATGGATTGGTGAAGTGGACAATTATAACATGGGTTGGTGAAGTGGACAATTATAACATGGGTTGGTGAAGTGGACAACTATAACATGGGTTGGTGAAGTGGACAACTATAACATGGGTTGGTGAAATGGACAACTATAACATGGGTTGGTGAAATGGACAACTATAACATGGGTTGGTGAAGTGGACAACTATAACATGGGTTGGTGAAGTGGACAACTATAACATGGATTGGTGAAGTGGACAATGGGTTGGTGAAGTGGACAACTATAACATGGGTTGGTGAAGTGGACAACTATAACATGGACAATTATAACATGGGTTGGTGAAATGGACAAACATGGGTATAACATGGGTTGGTGAAGTGGACAACTATAACATGGGTTGGTGAAGTGGACAACTATAACATGGGTTGGTGAAGTGGACAACTATAACATGGGTTGGTGAAGTGGACAACTATAACATGGGTTGGTGAAGTGGACAACTATAACATGGGTTGGTGAAGTGGACAACTATAACATGGGTTGGTGAAGTGGACAACTATAACATGGATTGGTGAAATGGACAACTATAACATGGATTGGTGAAATGGACAACTATAACATGGGTTGGTGAAGTGGACAACTATAACATGGGTTGGTGAAATGGACAACTATAACATGGGTTGGTGAAGTGGACAACTATAACATGGGTTGGTGAAGTGGACAACTATAACATGGATTGGTGAAGTGGACAACTATAACATGGGTTGGTGAAGTGGACAACTATAACATGGGGTGAAGTGGACAATTGGGGTGAAGTGGACAACTATAACATGGGAAGTGGACAACTATAAAATGGACATGGGTTGGTGAAGTGGACAACTATAACATGGGTTGGTGAAGTGGACAACTATAACATGGGTTGGTGAAGTGGACAACTATAACATGGGTTGGTGAAGTGGACAATTATAACATGGGTTGGTGAAGTGGACAACTATAACATGGGTTGGTGAAGTGGACAACTATAACATGGGTTGGTGAAATGGACAACTATAACATGGGTTGGTGAAGTGGACAACTATAACATGGGTTGGTGAAGTGGACAACTATAACATGGGTTGGTGAAGTGGACAATTATAACATGGGTTGGTGAAATGGACAACTATAACATGTGTTGGGGAAGTGGACAACTATAACATGGGTTGGTGAAGTGGACAATTATAACATGGGTTGGTGAAGTGGACAACTATAACATGGGTTGGTGAAGTGGACAACTATAACATGGGTTGGTGAAGTGGACAACAACTATAACATGGGTTGGTGAAGTGGACAACTATAACATGGGTTGGTGAAGTGGACAACTATAACATGGGTTGGTGAAGTGGACAACTATAACATGGGTTGGTGAAGTGGACAACTATAACATGGGTTGGTGAAGTGGACAACTATAACATGGATTGGTGAAGTGGACAATTATAACATGGATTGGTGAAGTGGACAACTATAACATGGGTTGGTGAAGTGGACAACTATAACATGGGTTGGTGAAGTGGACAACTATAACATGGGTTGGTGAAGTGGACAACTATAACATGGGTTTGGGAAGTGGCCAAGTATAACATGGGTTGGTCAAGTTGACAACCATGACATTGAGTGGTGAAGTGGACCACAATTGTCTTGTACAATTTGATATTGACTTTTGTTTACATACCTACGATGACTCCAATTGTGATCCAAACATTATATGTCATCACTGCTAACATGAGGATATAGCCAATGATAAGATTAAAGATGTGTGTCAGCAGCCCTAGGCAGTGGTACTTGATTCTGTAAGGGAGATAACTGTTAGAATTACTGTAAAACTAACCCCAGGCAGTGGTACTTGATTCTGTAAGGGAGATAACTGTTAGAATTACTGTATAATAAACCCCAGGCAGTGGCACTTGATTCTGTAAGGGAGATAACTGTTAGAATTACTGTAAAACTAACCCCAGGCAGTGGTACTTGATTCTGTAAGGGAGATAACTGTTAGAATTATTGTAAAACTAACCCCAGGCAGTGGTACTTGATTCTGTAAGGGAGATAACTGTTAGAATTACTGTATAATTAATTTGTAATATAATATACATTTATTTTATAACAATTGCCAAACAACCTATCAGCTTATATCACTCTTGTTGGCGTGGATGAAAGTGTGATAGGGTTCTTACTCTGGCAGGAAAAACCCACATGGTTGGGCAGGTGACCCATACCTTTCCACTTCTGTTTCGGGAATCAAACCCCTGATAGCTAGGTGAAAGGCAAAGGTAGTACCACTGCACCACCCCACCACTCATGATTCTTGATTCTATAAGGGAGATAACTGTTAGGATTACCGTATCATCAACCTCAGGCAGTTCATCCTCGATACTCCAGGAGATACAATAACTTTCGATCTCTGTTGAAGGTTCCATGCATGACACCTTGTGGACAAGACAAATAGACTAGTTTGATCGTTTGATGTACATCGAACGATCCTCAAGGTCGCATAACAGTATATTGTACTGGTTTTGAAGTTGGGTGTTGCTCCTTTGTAATCTTCAAAAGGAGCATATCAGCCTGTGATTGGTCTGTTTTTGTTCTCCTGGCACTTATCAAATTACTTTGTTGGTGCCCTCAATTTTGCTATGACATGTTCAAAGGGTGCAGAGAGCAAAAGTGGAGTATCAAGGATGTAGGCATTGGCACTTTATTATGCAAGGGAGATAACTGTTAGGATTACTGTATAACTAATCCCAGGCAGTGGCACTTAATTCTGTAAGGGAGATAACTGTTAGGATTACTGTATAACAAACCCCAGGCAGTGGCACTTGATTATGTAAGGGAGATAACTATGAATCCAAGAGAGGCCCTTTGCTGTTTCCATTGGACCTTGTGAACATGATAATTTTCTTAAGGTTGGTTGTCAACAGAACGAGAGTTCATATAACACGAGCAGAAGAAGATTTGAGTGTGCTGTTTTGATGACTACACAGTCATCTTCATCCGAAAAAAGACCAGTGTGAAACATTCTAGCACTGACAAAATTTGCATACAAGGCATACAAGTTGGCAAGAAATCGACTTTTTTTAGCTATACTATAATCCTTTGTACACTAAAAAATGCAAAAAAATGTGACAAGATGGTAAACACTAAATACTTGACGTAAAGAGATTATCATGTAATCTTTTTGAATAAGATCTTTGATGAGATGGACAATGGAACTTACTTAATTGTATTATATAGAGTTATGGCCCTTTGCAGTTTTATGACCATCAGACTTTGTGAACAAAATAACTTCAGTAAGTATGGACAGATTTTGATTAAACTTGGTATGCTGCTTTATATAAATAAGATATTCAAACCTTCTTGATCGAATTTGTTCTAAACTTGCTGGAATCATCAGTGACGCTGTGAGATCATCACGTTCATCTAAATCTTCTGTGTCCGTTAGACCATATGTCAATGGGTTCTGTTTGATTCGTACTGACCAGTACATCATCAGCATCTTGGCCCCCTCCAGTAAGAATGTCATAGCTCCTACCACCAGGCAGGTCACAACCAGTCCTGAGTGACAATGACAAACAACTCCAGTATCACAAATAGCAGGAAAGTGTAATACACTTATAGTACATGTCATTACAATGAGGTAATGATCGAATGAAAATTACTCAAAAGAAGGCATTTATTCTTTTGTATCAAAATCATACATAAGATAAATAGGTACAGTTCATGAATTACTTGGTATCACATTTTTTTTTTATCTCAGAAGTGCCTATCATGAATATAGTTCTTATAGTGAAAATACAATATGATACAGTAAAAATGCCCTTTAAAACAATAAAATAATGATAGATTCTGAAGACTTGTTACATAAACAGATTCCAAAATTGACAATACTGTCGATAAGAGAAGAACACATTTCAAACTAATTAATATCTGAATATCAGTTAGGAAATTGAAACTGATTTCCATTACTAAAATGCAGTGATAACTACTAGTTTTGTGTTAATGAGATGAATACCATAATGAAGAACAATTTCAAAAGAATCAAATTAAGAGTTTAATTTACCACAATGTGCATGAATTAACTTAACCAAAGACTTTAATTAACCTAAACTTACCACTTGTATTTTCAACATTTAATCCCTTGAAAATGAAATTATTCAAGGGAGTGTGAAAATTGAAATGACCAGTCTGAAAAAGAAATGAAAAACACATTAAACATTATCTTTTAATTCTAAATGTAAGACCTTTGAACTTCAGTCATAGTTAAGTCATTCTTTTACTGCGAGCACCACATGCTATCCAGAGAACTTTGGGTAAATTGTCTTGTTTAAGGATACTACTGCCATATCAGTGTAGGCCCTGGTCTGCGATTTCAGCGTTTGAGAAACACAAGCCAACCCAAGTAGAGATTAAACCACACTCTTTGGATCTTCACCTGAGTCTACTGAAATCTAAAGTAAAGGAATGAGGTTCTCTAAATCCAACACTTTTCAATTTAAACTATTTCCAACCTATTGGCCAGATTGAGAAAGCACAGAAACGTGCCCAAAGTTCTGATATTAGGTATATATCAGACATTTTTGGTTTTCATTCAATCATTTACATCAGGTTATTTTTCCCAGATACATCTATAATATGATTTATGGTGTGAGCATACTACAAAACACCTTCTTTTTTTCATTAATATGGCTATCAGCCCACACCTGATACTTTTGTAACCCTGGTAAATATTTAGGCATAACTTATTGTTCTGCTAGCAATAGAGTACTTTTCTTTAGCTTGATAAGTTGAGCATAAGTAAACCAGAGATCCTGGGTTTCACATAGAAATAAATAATGACATCTGCTTATGTTATGTCAGCCCAAACTTATCATTATACAGTGTTTGGAATTAACAATAAATACCAATGTGTAGTTTATCAGCCCAAACTTATCATTATACAGTGTTTGGAATTAACAATAAATACCAATGTGTAGTTTATCAGCCCAAACTTATCATTATACAGTGTTTGGAATTAACAATAAATACCAATGTCTAGTTTATCAGCCCAAACTTATCATTATACAGTGTTTGGAATTAACAATAAATACCACACCATCGTCCTGTAATCAATGAAATGTGCTGGACCCCTGGATTCATAACAGAATGAAGAGGGGGTATAACTCACAATTCTTCTTCTATGTATGGATGCTTTACAAGATGATTGGAAAACATGCTCTTAATATCACACAATTATATTGTACCTTCTTAAATGAATTAAATCCCTTGGTTTAGTGCCAGTGTTCACACGAATAGGACATGTATTCTGTGTTGACATGAGTTAGCATCAGAGTTGTGGGGAAGCATTGGAGTGTTCACTCTCAATCAAGTAGATTTTACACAGAAAATTGGTCAGGGGTTGGGCATTCCCTTACTCTCAACTTTCCAGTAAGGGTTTTGTGGATTCATTTGAAAATAGCAATACTATATCACTAATGGATCATAAATGTGATATTGATATCTTAGATGCGACATTTTTGAAAACAGAAAAAGAAAATTGTAAAACAGGAACAAATATGCAAGTGAAAGTAGGGGTCAGGTGGTTATCTGCCAATCTGGCATATGGTAAAAAATCACACTTTCAATTTCACATATCATGATAATTTCTCGAAAAGCGACCATTAGATACAAGCTATTTACCATAGTTAGTATCAAAGTTTCATCCCCAGACAAACTTTTACACTAGATATTCGGTAAAAATTTGTAAAACTCGTTGTTGGTGGTGAAAATCCATCTCTTACAATCCTTCAAGTTTCCTGGCTACCATTTTCTTATCATGTGACATCTAAATATAGACTATCGACTTCCGGCGCTTCCGGTAAATGAAATGTGTAAGACGTGTTTTCATTGGTTAGCTGTCAAACGGCTCGAAATTCGGATTCGAAAACGTAATGGGGAATGTTTACATTTGTGGCCGTTGATAGGCTGACTATCAATGAAGTAGCTAGACCTATATATGCTGAAGATTCAACGTTAGCACGATGGATATTGGCGACCACACTGGTACTCTTTCTCTTCGTCAGGATGATGCGTTGGAAAACTTCGGGCCTATTGCCTTCACAACTTCAACTCCGAGTAACCCAACTCGACGAAGTGGAAGAAAGTCATGGTTTGATAATTTGGGAAATGCGGGGAAGGGTACTAAATATGAAATTGCTGTGGAGAAAACGGTTAAGAGACGATCAGTTTGTCGTAGAAAAAGCGAGGATGATGATATAGAAACTCTTACACTAACCCATTTTACAAATCCACCGAGGATAAGCTTTGGTAGAGCAAAACCAGGAACGATAAAAAGACGAAGTTTATTAATAAAAAATCCCCACGAACACTCTCAAGATGTTGTGGTAGAAAAATTCCCGTTCAAAAAGCATTTTGACATTGATGAAACGAAATTCACAGTGGAAGCAGAGGGCACCTTGCTCTTGACAATAACATGGTCACCAGAGGACGAAGGCAACTTCAGGGAGATGATTCTACTTCATGTCGACGGATCTTACAGACTACAGGCTTTTGTTTTTGGCACCGTTGAAAAGCCTCCACAAAAGAAAAAAGTGGTGTGTTTGAGTTTAATATATATCAGGTTGGAAACTTAATTGGAAAATTGAGGCTGTCTCGATTTTGGGATAGGTCTTTGTAATGTATGTATATTTAGTGTATACAACCAAAAGAGTTAAATGTTTAATGAGTATGAAATATCTTTGGTGCTTTACATAGAGTTTTGTAATTTGTAAAATATGAAATATGAGAGTCTCAACCTTCCAAGGATGTTCCCAACATAGATAGAAGTTAATATGTATACATAATGACTGTAGTGTTTAGTGTTTCTTACCAATTGAGTTATTTAAAGAGAAATGTTCTTATCTTAATTAATAAGTAAATTGCCTGCATTAAGGCAGTATTCTGATAAGTGGGTGGATGGGGGTAGTGTTGTGGAAAAAACTATCTGGCACCTAACCATGTTAGGAAGAACCCAAGAGTTATTGATTAAGTAACAATTATGATGGAAGTATTTGGCCTTACTCCACATGGGACTTTTCTAGATGGGTAAACACCACCACCCTATCAATCACACATTAGGTAATTAATTCATCTAGACAAGTTCTGTGGGTATAGGACAAATCAGATCAGCAAAATTGCAGAGCAAACCACTTTCAACCAATAGATTTCATTCAATATGTCAAAAATTAAAAGTTCACTACGACGAGTTTCATGGAATTTTATATGAAATATGAAATGTGTGATTTCTGACTGGCACAGCCCATGAAAAACACTACGCTAGTGACACATGGAAAATAATTGTAGGTGAATTCACTGGTTAACAAGCTTGATGTGTGATAAATGTTTTCATTCAAATAAATTTTATAGAATGACAGGGCTCTCACACCCCATTTTGGGACTGGGGCCCGGGGCCCTTAGAATTGGGAAAATTGGGGTCTAAATTGGGAAAAAAAGATACCATTTTGCATTGGGAATGGGGCAGAATATCGGCACCAAATCTGGCAGATCGAGAGCCCTGAATGATCACAAACTATTAATCATTGTAAACACACTGTACTTTTTGAATCGTACCAGGAAATTGTTTGATAAACTTTCCCAAACAGGTCAATGTTTATAATAATATGATTCATTAAACTTTGTGTATCTGACCTTCACATTGCTCTTTATTATTAACGTATCATCTGGGTTTTTTTTTTCAGAGAAAAGGTCTTATGGGAAAAGCTACAAAAAAGCCATTTGCTGTCATACATACAACAAGCCTGGCCAACATTGCCAAGTCATACAGCCCAACAAAGGGAGAGGCGAGAAAGAGTGGTGAGGGACGCAAGAGGCTTTCCAAGGGAAGGGAAAATAAAGTTAGTGTTAAAAAGACCCAAGTGAAACAAGATAATTCCTATCCAAAACCAAAGCAGCATTCAGCACAAGTAACTGAATTTGTTGATGGAGGTCTTGATTCAAACATCAAAATCAGTCACATTACCCCCATCAAACCAGTTGAAGACCCTGTTATATCTGCGGCAGAATTTGTAGTCCCTAAGGTAGTGAAAATGCCTGGTAAATCTTCAGTCAACAAACTCCAAGGTGACTTTCAGGAGGAGTTGGAGTGTCTGTCACCTTTAGTGGCTAAGTACCTTGATAACAGTGATGATGATGTTATTGTTGTTAGACAAACTGTGAACAGTGAAGATCAGAAAAATCAGCTGAATACACCAGATAGAATGATGTTGGCTTCAAACAAAATCTCGTCATCAACGACTCATGACACTCCTAAAAGCACTGTGCAAGTAGTTGAACCACACAAAAACAAACTAAACACATCAAACAAAGTTGATGTTGTGGAAAGAAAAACTCCTGATAAGGAAAATCAGTGGTTTGACCAAGAAGGGAAAGCAGATGCACTGTCACCCAACAGTTTCCTGCAGGACTCTCTGTGTAGCCAGAGAGGTGTAGATACCAGTCTGTATGATGCTGTCTCCACTATCAGCAGACAACCAGCACATTCCACTATACTGCCAACCCCAGAGAGGATGTCATGTGCTAATCAACACAAAGATTTTATTAGCCCAAACAAGTTTCTGAAGGAGTTGAATGACACACAGGAAAGGCTTGAGTTGAGTCTCCAACATGATCCCGATACTATTCTCAGTCCTGAGTCCATTTTGAACAGTTCAATCCCACATGCCATCATGGTTAAACAGTTACAGACAGTCAAAATGTCTCTGGCTAGTCCAAATCCTCCAGTATTTTCACCTATGTCTAACAAAAGAGAGACATTTGTCCTGAAGTCTAACCTCAGTATTAACCAATCTCCAGCTCTTCGTAGGGAGACATTCCTTAAGGGAAGAACAGTTACCAAATCAAAGCCATTTCCATCCAGTTCCAGAAATGCCCTATTTACACAACAAGGGAAACAAAAGACAAATACAAAGAAAAAGGACACAAAACCTAGAGTTGATTCCAATAACTTGAGGAAAAAGAGCAAGGAAGACTGTGAGAATCTCTACAAGAAAACAAATTGTGAAAATGGAAAGTTCAGTCAAGACTGGATAAATGGAGTGAGTTCAAGTAAAGCTATTCCTGTGTCACCTCTTCCTACAAATATTCCATCTACTGGCATACACCAAGGGGCCATTAACACACCTGAATTACTCTTAAATTCTCAAGCCATTACTGATTCTGTGAGTTTAAAAACTACAGATGGGAATACTTTGTCAGGGAAAACATTTACGCCATCTGGTGTTGTTTCACTTAACACAAAAAGTACTATCTTGGAGACCCCTGCTAACTTGACTGTAGACACACCTGTAGCAGAAATGCTTTCTGTCAGAGTTCCTGCCATCAGTATGCAACTTCCCTGCGATATTCGTACAGGAAAACATGACAGGATGAGTCAAGATAGTCTTGAGGGTTCGGTTTTGGCTATAGACTCAACAACAGTAATGAAGGAAAAAACATTGAATGATATCACTCCAGAAAGGCAGACTTCAACAGGGAAGAGGCTGTTAACACCTGAAAATGAAGTGTCGCCACCACAAGATTACAGCTTCCAGTCCCCAAGCAATCTTCCTGAAGATACACCAATGAGAGAAGTGTTTACACGTCGGACCACTCTGACAGTCACCAAGGAGAAACCGTCTGATGCTCTCCTACAGGTCACAAAGAAACATATCTCCTCTCAACTAAACACAGAAGACAAAGCTATTACCTCTGATAACACAGTTCACAATCTGACAAATGGTTCTCCAAGACTGCATACAGCTGTTCCAGAGGAAAATCCCGAGCGATGCATTTCTATTTTGTTAAGAAATAGCACAACTTCACATCCTGTAGAGCACACCCCAACTGATGTTAGTGTCAGAAGCATTGACAATAAAACCAGCAGTTTTACAACAACCCCTCATCAGTTACCAACCAGTCCAAACCCTGATAATTCCCGGCGGTCTACACATGTTATTGAGAAGCCAAAGGTTCTTGACCTCAGCATCATTGGGAGAAAGCGTCTGTTTCCACCACTGGAAGATTCAGCTGATGAATCTGTCACTCAAAAAGACAACTTGACAACAGTAACAGTTGCTGCTACTTCTAGTACACTGGATGTTGTTCCTGTGCAGTTGGCAACTGACCATTCTGACAACTTAACATTGGATATTAGCCGTCACACTAAGCAGGCGAGTGAAGAAAAATCCCAAGATGAAGGTATTCCTAGCAATGATGAAGTTTCTTTGAAATCTGATCTTGGGAAATCTTGTGTTCCCGATATTGGAGATGAAGAAAAGCAAAAAGTTGATATCACTTCAGTCAAGCAAAGCCCAGACAAAATGGTGACAATTTCACAAGAGAGAAAACCGTATGTTGCCTTCATAACAGGTTCTCCTGTTGATCCGCCTTCTAAACAACCCAGAGTGACCAACAGAACTAAGGAGATTGTAAAGAAGCGTACCCACAGTGAGAACAGAGCTGTGGATCGGGTCGACAACAAGAGACTGAGGTCCACTGGCACTATAAACACGGGTATGTCTGGGAGAAGCCAGACTGTCTCTTCATTGTCTCATTCTACCACCAGACCAAGACCAGCAACAGCCAGTAAAAGAGACAACAAAACAGGTAAGCACACCCTCCACAACGGCCAACATATGAACAATTTCTAGCTTTCAGAACTCGTATTTTTGTTTAGAGTAATTGATGGTTCATTGTTGATAAATTTAAAATTCTCCACTAAACAAGGTTTAACAAGTGTGTTTCACAATGTTGAGAAGGTGTTGTCACAAGCTGTTTTAGGGCTATTTCACCCTGTTTATTTGGAGTAATGTATACTCCAACTTTGATAATGATAAACTGCTGAAAAGTTCAATGTTTTTTGTGGAGAAACAGGTGGACCACTGAGAACATCCAGTAAATTCAAGAGTTCACTGAAAGGCGTGGCACAGACCAAACTCATCCTGATGAAAAAATCACATCCAACAGGTACTCAGATATAACATTTTTCATGTCTTCCTATCACAAGTGATTTAATCCTTATAAAATTTTCCAACTTATAAAAATCAAAATTGACTTTACATTTTGCACTTTTTAACATTTGTTGATTTCTCATTTCCTGTTATCAATTTTCAATTTTTCCACTTTACCTGCTTTTAAGGTTTTCAAGTTTTTGACATATTCTATTTTCTTGTGAGCATAATAATTCAGCGCAGTGCTGAAAGATGTATCCCTGCAAGAAAGGTTGATAGGGGCATATTAGAGTCAAGATTATGGAGTTTTGCTCAGAAAGTTCTGTTTACTGTTAGAAATCTGGTAGGCTTCTTGTACAAGATGAGTGCCACTTACCTAAGGTAGGTAGTACACATCCTCAGGAGTCATAGTGTCCCTTTGATAACAATCTTATACGGACAGGAGATTACACAACACATTGATTGTCTTCTTAACTAGTTACTGTGAAAACAAGAATACATTGTCTTTACTTTATGTAGAACCTGAAACCTGACTTTGTGGCCACAATATACTGGCTGAAACTTCTAGTCAATGTAGAAGCTGAAACCTGACTCTGTGGCCACAATATACTGGCTGAAACTTCTAGTCAGTGTAGAACCTGAAACCTGACTCTGTGGCCACAATATACTGGCTGAAACTTCTAGTCAGTGTAGAACCTGAAACCTGACTCTGTGGCCACAATATACTGGCTGTAACTTCTAGTCTAATTAGAAGCTGAAACCTGACTCTGTGGCCACAATATACTGGCTGAAACTTCTAGTCAGTGTAGAACCTGAAACCTGACTCTGTGGCCACAATATACTGGCTGAAACTTCTAGTCAATGTAGAACCTGAAACCTGACTCTGTGGCCACAATATACTGGCTGAAACTTCTAGTCAGTGTAGAACCTGAAACCTGACTCTGTGGCCACAATATACTGGCTGAAACTTCTAGTCAATGTAGAACCTGAAACCTGACTCTGTGGCCACAATATACTGGCTGAAACTTCCTGAAACCTGACTATGTATACTGGAACCTGAAACCTGACTCTGTGGCCACAATATACTGGCTGAAACTTCTAGTCAATGTAGAACCTGAAACCTGACTCTGTGGCCACAATATACTGGCTGAAACTTCTACTCTATGTAGAACCTGAAACCTGACTCTGTGGCCACAATATACTGGCTGAAACTTCTAGTCAGTGTAGAACCTGAAACCTGACTCTGTGGCCACAATATACTGGCTGAAACTTCTACTCTATGTAGAACCTGAAACCTGACTCTGTGGCCACAATATACTGGCTGAAACTTCTAGTCAATGTAGAACCTGAAACCTGACTCTGTGGCCACAATATACTGGCTGAAACTTCTAGTCAGTGTAGAACCTGAAACCTGACTCTGTGGCCACAATATACTGGCTGAAACTTCTACTCTATGTAGAACCTGAAACCTGACTCTGTGGCCACAATATACTGGCTGAAACTTCTACTCTATGTAGAACCTGAAACCTGACTCTGTGGCCACAATATACTGGCTGTAACTTCTACTCTGTGCAGAACCTGAAACCTGACTCTGTGGCCACAATATACTGGCTGAAGAAACCTAAACCTACAATATACTGGCTGAAACTGTGGCCACAATGATACAATATACTGGCTGAAACTTCTACTCTATGTAGACCCTGAAACCTGACTCTGTGGCCACAATATACTGGCTGAAACTTCTACTCTATGTAGACCCTGAAACCTGACTCTGTGGCCACAATATACTGACTGAAACTTCTACTCTATGTAGAAACTGAAACCTGACTCTGTGGCCACAATATACTGGCTGAAACTTCTACTCTAATTAGAAGCTGAAACCTGACTCTGTGGCTTTGAATTTAAGAAAATTTCACTAATTTTTCGATGAGTGTGTTATTCGCAATCTTTTTTTCTGGTTCTCTATTTCTACATTTTAGTTGGTGGTATTGGTTATCCAATGGTTTATATCTTTAATTCTATCTGTTGTACAGCTTTACCAAAGCACCCCATGCCCTTTGCATCAAAGAATATGTACTATGATGAGCGGTGGATTGACAAACAGGAGCGAGGCTTTGTGCACTGGCTCAACTTTGTGTTAACACCTGCGGAAGAGTATCAGCACAGCAACAAACAAGTAAAAGGTGAATGATATTTCATTGGTTTTCTGATTTCTTCAGTAGTATAAAGAACGATGTAACATAGAGATAAAGTTAATGAAATAAGCTTTAGCAAGCTGCAATGAAATAGTATTATGTATATTGTATTATTTTTTCCTTGCTTTCTGAAAAACATCTTATTATTCCTTGTGATGTCTTCAAGAATACACATTACTGATAAATTAGAAATAAATTTAACATCAGTGTTTTTTTTCAATACTCATCAGTGTTATATATGAACTATCCAATGAAACATTTTTAATGACAAGTAGTGGAATTTTCAATTTATTTTTCATTTTGACACGAATAGAATTTAAGGATTTAAAAAAATACTTTTAATGCAAAGAATACTAGATTTTCGTCATTATTCTAGAAAGAATTTTTCATGAGAGCTTCCTGTCGAACTAGTAAACTAATATATAAGTGCTACAAAGAAATATGATTTTCAAAAAAATTAATCTTAATCAATTTTCCCTTGATATTGATCTTTATCTGAAAACAATATTTTTAAAAGTAGATGACTTCAGATTTGATATCTTTCTTCAGTTGATGCGGGGGCTCTGTCTGTGGAGGCTAGTCGAGCTAGTGTTAAGCTGGCACCAAGCAAAGAAGTTCTGTCCATACGAGCTTACACTGCAAGACGCAGACTCAACCAGCTTCGTCGAGGTGCTTGTAATCTCTTTCAAACAAAGGAAATAATTTGCGTGATTCAGAAACTAGAGGCAGAAATTGAAAGTCTGCGACTGGTGATCCGTAAAGACAAGAAAGTACATGCAGACCTTGGTATGTATATAGATAAACTGGATGATAACTGATAGACTTATATACAGGTGTGTTAAGGATTGAATTTTGCTTATGTCAGTTTCATGGGATGATGAATTGAGTTGGTCTTGAGACAAATTTAATGAACTGCAAAGCAGTTCATGTTTTTACAGGCACCAAAGCGGAGAGCGAGAAATATCAGGCTTCAGTCGCTTCACATCTTTTGAAACGTAAAGATACTGTTATTAAATGTTGAATTAAATTTTTATTTTGATGTTTTTAAATCTCATACTTGTGGTATATTGCCAGTCTAGTAGAAGTTGGGGAGTTTTCTCCCCTTACCTAATATTTGTATTCATATGCACTGGCAATGTTATCTGGTCAAATTCATTGGTAAATGAAACGGATCACATTTAGTAGTTTCATTGAGTCAGATTTGGGTAGAAATTGAAATATTATTGTATGAATATTGGCAATACAGAAATATCACAAATTCACAAAGATCAGCAGCTTGTTTTAAAGAGAATTTCAGCTCCCAGTGTTCAGAATTTGAATAATGATCTTGATTTCCTGAAATATTTCTGAAAAAAGCTTTGGATACAATTATGCAAATTCAAAAGTAGAAATCATAATGATGTTATATTGGGATTAAATGGGTTTTTTTTTTTTCATTTTCATAGCAGCAATGAACATCAGCAGCTATCTTGATATCCTATGGTGTGACCTAAACATGCTAACTTTGTATTATTGGTTTGACTCTGTAGGTATGAAACAGGACATTCTTGACATGATCCTTTCCTTCAATCCACTGTGGCTAAGGATTGGTTTAGAGGTAAAGACACCGCTTTTCACTCGTTTGACAAATCGATAAGGCCATAAAATTTACAATCTTAGTTTTTCAGACCTGCTTGCATCCAATTTAAGACCTACTGCCAAGTTGTACATTTAGGGGTAGTGGAAATGGTAAAAAAAAATATTTAAAGCGTTTGGCCCATGAACTTTGAAGCCATTTATATTTAAAGTCAGTAGGCGTCAACATTAGATATATAAAAATCCTGAAGTAGATATTGACTAGTTTATAAGGTGAGACATTAGTGGCAAAAGACTTCAAATTTACCATTGTAATGTTACTTTTTTTCCCTTTTCTTGTGTAATTTTTTACAATCATTGAAATTTCTTTAAGATTTCAAAATTATTTGTGATATTAAAGAGAGATTATAAAATCTTTAATTGTGCACTGTTATCGGTTATTGTGTTATTCTTGTAGACGGTTTATGGAGAGATGATTCCCATGCAGAACAACACTGACGTAATCAGTATGTCTCGATTTATTGTCACTCGTCTACTCAGCAATCCAGACATTGCCTCAGAGTATTGTCATCCTACAGTACCACACCTGTATCGTGATGGTAGGTATTCTGTCACCCTACAGTACCACACCTGTATCGTGATGGTAGGTATTCTGTCATCCTACAGTACCACACCTGTATCGTGATGGTAGGTATTCTGTCACCCTACAGTACCACACCTGTATCGTGATGGTAGGTATTCTGTCATCCTACAGTACCACACCTGTATCGTGATGGTAGGTATTCTGTCATCCTACAGTATCACACCTGTATCGTGATGGTAGGTATTCTGTCATCCTACAGTACCACACCTGTATTGTGATGGTAGGTATTCTGTCACCCTACAGTACCACACCTGTATCGTGATGGTAGGTATTCTGTCATCCTACAGTACCACACCTGTATTTTGATGGTAGGTATTCTGTCATCCTACAGTATCACACCTGTATCATGATCGTAGGTATTCTGTCATCTTACAGTATCACACCTGTATTATGATGGTAGGTATTCTGTCATCCTACAGTATCACACCTGTAGCTTGATGGTAGGTATTCTGTCACCCTACAGTACCACACCTGTATCGTGATGGTAGGTATTCTGTCATCCTACAGTATCAAACCTGTCACCATCAGTATCACACCTGTCACCCTACAGTATCACACCTGTCACTCTACAGTACCACACCTGTCACCCTTTAGTATCACACCTGTCACCCTACAGTATCACACCTGTAACCCTACAGTGCCATACCTGTCACCCTCAGTATTGCACCTGTCACCCTCAGTATAACACCTGTCACCATCAGTATTGCACCTGTCACCCTACAGTACCACATCTATCACACTCAGTTTCGCACCTGTCACCATTAGTATCGCACCTGTCACCATCAGTATCATGCCTGTCACCATCAGTATTGCACCTGTTACCCTACAGCATCACACCTATCATGTATCTGTCGTTGGATTCTCATCAAATCTGGTATTTGAATTTTGAAAATTGACCATTTTATTACTTACTGCACAATAACTTGTACATTCTGTAGTCAAATTTTCTTTGAATGTCTTATGTCGATTTGCATCACTTACCACGTGATTACCACTGCCATCCATCATTATTTGATAGATTTATGGGACTATGAATGCCAAAAGTATACTATTTTATTACTTTTCATGCACTGCATATTTGCAGTCGAATCTTCACCATATTTGGTATGTGGGTTTATTAACATGAGACATTGCATGGATTTGATAACAAATGGAATCTGTTCATATCTACAAGAGTTATGGGGCTTTAAAAACCAAGCAATTGTTGATTTTATGCCATTTTGTACAACAACTGTCATGGTTGTATAAGATTTCCACCAAACTTGTGTGTTGTCTCTTATATGTAAGACCTTGTGTGGGCTCTGCTCCAACTCACCACAGTGGTTCCCATACTGATCATGTTTAGTATTGAGGCATTGATCATTCCCAAGTCATCCAAATGTGGACACATCATAGCGATCATTAACAGATATTTGTGGACTGTATGGACTGGATAAGAATGCACTGTTGCAATATCACAATCTCAGGTTAAGACTTCTGCTTTGTATGTAATGAGAAGCAATGAACTGTTGATAAATAAAATTAATTACAGATAGGACAATTTTTACTTGATAGGATATTGTGCCCATCTCATTGAAACATCACAATAAACCATAAACATGGTTTATTTTTATTTGTGTTTTTTTTTTTTTTTTTTTCACATTGTTATAGGTCATTTTTTTTTATAGGAGATTGAACTTTGTAGATCTTGGAGTTTAAGCCTAGATTATTATTTCAAAAACAATATTGAAGCATAAACGAAACCTTCTGTAGATTATCAGAGGGCCCCTGCCCTGATATTGGTCTTTAAATCTTTGTTTCATATTTGTTCCCCAAGTCAGTGTATTCAGTTCTACAAAACTCTTCTGCAGGAAAAGTTGTTGTAAAGAATACGAATATTTAATAATGGTGTTTTAATCTAAGATGAATTGACTTTAAAGGTAATTATGTAAAATCTTTTTACTTTTAGGTTATGCTGAGGCCATTGCCCAACACCTGCTGAAGAAGGTCTTTATGTTGATCTACTTCCTTGATAAAGCCAAATCACACAGACTTATCAACCATGACCCATGTCTCTTTTGTAAAGACTCAGAGTTCAAGGTATTATGTTTTGTGTCACTTATCTGGTTGTCACTCTTTGTCATCATTTCAACTGTCTTATTAAGAGACAGCAGGTATTATGTTTTGTGTCACTTGTCTAGTTGTCACACTCTTTGTCACCATTTCAGCTGTCTTATTAAGAGACAGCAGGTATTATGTTTTGTGTCACTTGTCTAGTTGTCACACTCTTTGTCATCATTTCAGCTGTCTTATTAAGAGACAGCAGGTATTACGTTTTGTGTCACTTATCTGGTTGTCACACTCTTTGTCATCATTTCAGCTGTCTTATTAAGAGACAGCAGGTATCTTTTTACTGACACGTTTTAAAGACTTCACAAATGTATTTAAATGTCATGGTGATCTGTCTAATTTAAGATCACTGTTAACCAAAAATAAACTTACATCATCACAATGTCTGTTGTTTCTCTGTCCTATCTTCTATCAGATAAGTTTGAATGAAACTTTAATGGTGAAAGTTTTGGTTCTTTTTACAGCTAAATTATGCCAGTTTCACAAAAAAACCTTGAAAACTTGCGTGTCAATTTTCACAGCTTCAAATGAGCACCTCAAGCTTTTAATTTTCTGCATTCTAAGGCCTCTTCATCCTCTGTTTGATTGTACACATGTCTGTACACTAGTGACCTGATTGAAATGCCAAATCATATCTCCAGCCCAAAGTAGTGATATAATGTATATCAAAAGCACATTCAGTGATATAAGGGTGGATGTTTTTTACTCCAAAAATCTTTTGTAGCAAGACAGTTTCTCACATATCTAATGATCTGAAGATATGATCAAAAGCATTTTCTATTTGTAAAACTTTTCTGCTGGAGAAATTTGTGAAAATTAAACATAATATTTAAATGTGTTGGTAATACTTCATGGATGTACATGAGATGTTTTGTCTGTTTCAGTCAACAAAAGCCATGCTGATTCAGTTCTCCAGAAACTATCTTAGCGGGGAAGGAGATGTTACAAAACACCTTGGTTACCTTGGTTACGTGGTAACTCATCAACAGACCTCCATGGACGAATTTGATTACGCTGTTACCAATCTGGCTACAGACCTTCGCGATGGTGTCAGACTGACGTAAGTTATTTCTAAGAATAATTTTGGTTCGTTTTCACTACAATCATCAAAACTACACACCTATATTTAGTAATGCTACATCTTAATTGATGATCACACAAGCGTTTGTAATGAACATAGCTAAAGAACTGTTTCAAAACCAAGATACTCTTTTCTTCAAGGGTGCAGCATAATTGTAAAATTTTAAAGTTTCCATTGCAAGAGATCAAATGTAACTGATATTTTAATGAATTGTTCTCTTTGTCACTGGTTTTTTTTTTAACACCTTTCAATGATGCCAGTTTGTATTTACTGCTCAGCTGTTATCAGATTATGGATGTAAACATGAAATCTTATTGATATAGTAAAGTATACGGTAATTAATTAAATGCAGTAAAACATGACTAAATATCTAGAATCTATTTAGCTGTAAAACAATCACAGTTACAGTTCTTATTATAGTCTCAGTGTAATATCCACTTCATGTAATATGTGTGGTTTTCATAGTGGTTTTCAAATTTTTGAAAAACTAGTTCACATAGAAATTATTTCATAACGGAAAAGCCTAAAAGCAACCATGCTGATATGGAAAACGGCCGGATTAGGTTGAGAGCAAAAGTGACAAAAATAATTATTCTAGTTTAAACCAGCTGTATACAGGCAGTAGTATATGCTACTGGAAATGTAGTTTTTAGAGGTTCTACTTGTAGTTGGTGTTTTTATTTCAAGATGGCTCTTATAGATATCCTCCTAAAACCCATAAAGTCAACTAAAGTATACACATTAATTTTTGTACTTTTGACTCTTGGGGATTCTATGGACATGTTGTCTGTTTGTCTGTCTGTTTGTCTGTTGTCAATATTCATCTTCCCATAACTATTGCACTGTAAATGGAAGGGCTTTCATATTTGACCTTGACCTGACCTTTCTGGTGCTACCAAAATTTGTAACCATGACTGTGAACTTTGACCTACATTTAAATTTTTTTAATATTAGCCTTTCCTATGGTACTTTCAGAGGTAGGCTTTAATATTTGACTGTTACACCCCTTGAACATAGAATTTCCAATAATTCACAGTTGCCGTTCATTATCTCAGGACAATTCTCATGCATGTATAAGTGAGAGTTCAGATTAACATTGTGTTTTGCCTCAGATATAATTATTTGTAATGAAGTATAAAGTTTCACGAAGTGTGCATGCAATTAGCACATGCCTTACACAATACAGTTTTAATGTACCACTTCAGAATTTTGTTGCAACCGGGGGCAATAGTGCTTCATAAACACATCTTGTTTTCTTTACATTTACCGTTTGTTTGTTGTTGATTGACAGACGTGTATTAGAGCTACTGACCAATCACTGGGATTTATCTCGGAGTCTTAGAGCTCCAGCCATCAGCCGTCTCCAAAAGGTTCACAACATGGAGGTGGTGTTTAAAGCATTAACCACGCAAGGTGTTACCTTTGACAAGGGTGAGTAAGCTGACCTTCTAGCAGTCAGGGGTCACAAAATTCTCACAGTTTTTTCCTGATATCACTGGAATGTTAGCCTCATAGCCCTATTGTAATGCAACATTGAAAATCATTCTTAGATCATTAGGATAGATTTTATTATATATATTCTTTGTATCATTCTCAATAGAGAAGTGTTTTACAATGTACGAGATGTCTTGATTACCGAAGTATTGGTGAGGTTTGACATCTTACTAATCTGAGGCAACTTGAGACATCATTATCTATGACCTTTACATATTGTATACTAGATCACTAAGCATGTTTCTAGAAGAGGAAACCTCTCATACTTTTATATATGATGAAGGCATGACATGATGATAATTTTGTTTACAGAGAAAAAGATAACTACTAAGGACATTGTGGATGGACATCGTGAGAAGACCCTTCATGTTTTGTGGGCTCTTATCCTACAGTATCAGGTAATTTGTTACTACAGTAGTGTAAAGAGGGAACAGATAAACAGTGGTCAATGTGTGTTGTTACTACAGTAGTGTAAAGAGGGAACAGATAAACAGTGGTCAATGTTACTTGTTACTACAGTAGTGTAAAGAGGGAACAGATAAATACTGGTCAATGTTAGTTGTTACTACAGTAGTGTAAGGGGGGAACAGATAAACAGTGGTCAATGTTACTTGTTACTACAGTAGTGTAAGGCGAGGGAACAGACAAACAGAAGTCAATGTCAGTTGTTACTACAGTAGTGTAAAGAGGGAACAGATAAACAGTGGTCAATGTTACTTGTTACTACAGTAGTGTAAGGGGAGGGAACAGATAAACAGTGGTCAATGTTTGTTGTTACTACAGTAGTGTAAGGGGGGAACAGATAAACAGTGGTCAATGTTACTTGTTACTACAGTAGTGTAAAGAGGGAACAGATAAACAGTGGTCAATGTTACTTGTTACTACAGTAGTGTAAAGAGGGAACAGATAAACAGTGGTCAATGTTACTTGTTACTACAGTAGTGTAAAGAGGGAACAGATAAACAGTGGTCAATGTGTGTTGTTACTACAGTAGTGTAAGGGGAGGGAACAGATAAACAGTGGTCAATGTTACTTGTTACTACAGTAGTGTAAAGAGGGAACAGATAAACAGTGGTCAATGTGTGTTGTTACTACAGTAGTGTAAAGAGGGAACAGATAAACAGAAGTCAATGTCAGTTGTTACTACAGTAGTGTAAGGGGAGGGAACAGACAAACAGTGGTCAATGTTAGTTGTTACTGCAGTAGTGTAAGGGGAGGGAACAGATAAACACTGGTCAATGTTACTTGTTACTACAGTAGTGTAAGGGGGGAACAGATAAACAGTGGTCAATGTTACTTGTTACTACAGTAGTGTAAAGAGGGAACAGATAACAAGTACTCTGTTGTTAAATAAGGCATCCTACAGAGAAGTAATTTAATTTACTATACCACATACAGACCCTGTATAGGGTGTAGAACAGCTGGCTGCTGTACAGAGTTAGAACAAAGTAAGAGTTCACTATACCACACACAGACCCTGTATAGGGTGTAGAACAGCTGGCTGTTTTACAGAGTTAGAACAAAGTAAGAGTTCACTATACCACACACAGACCCTGTATAGGGTGTAGCACAGCTGGCTGCTGTACAGAGTTAGAACAAAGTAAGAGTTCACTATACCACATATAGACCCTGTATAGGTGTAGGACAGCTGGCTGTTTTACAGAATTAGAACAAAGTAAGAGTTCACTATTTTTAAACACAGGTGGATGTGTTGTTAAATAAGGAAAATCTGAGGGAAGAGATTAACATCCTACAGAGAAGTTTGTATGTGAGGAACCAACTAGCAGCTTTGCAGAGATATGAACAAGGTAAGATTTCACTATACCACATACAGACCCTGTATAGGGTGTAGAACAGCTAGCTGCTGTACAGAGTTAGAACAAAGTAAGAGTTCACTATACCACATATAGACCCTGTATAGGGTGTAGGACAGCTGGCTGCTGTACAGAGTTAGAACAAAGTAAGAGTTCACTATACCACACACAGACCCTGTATAGGGTGTAGGACAGCTGGCTGCTGTACAGAGTTAGAACAAAGTAAGAGTTCACTATACCACACACAGACCCTGTATAGGATGTAGGACAGCTGGCTGCTGTACAGAGTTAGAACAAAGTAAGAGTTCACTATACCACACACAGACCCTGTATAGGGTGTAGGACAGCTGGCTGTTTTACAGAGTTAGAACAAAGTAAGAGTTCACTATACCACACACAGACCCTGTATAGGGTGTAGGACAGCTGGCTGCTGTACAGAGTTAGAACAAAGTAAGAGTTCACTATACCACACACAGACCCTGTATATGGTGTAGGACAGCTGGCTACTCTAGAGTTAGAACATGGTTCTGTGATAACCGTTATGGATCAACTACAATATATATACAAATTGAAAGCAGTCTCTTCTGCACTTTTAAGTTGCCATTTTTCCAGCTTTGGTGACAGACAGGTGATTTTATGGTAAATGGTGGGATATGACAGCTTGTAACAGCCTAGTTTGTAAGTTAAGAAATTTTCCACATCAATTTGTATGTATGTTCAAGAAGATAGGTATTTGATTTCTCACGTGAATAAGCCAGCATGTTTTGAAACTTCAGTGATTTTTCTTGCAGGGTTGAGCAAGAAACGGCGTGAGTCATCGGAGCAGGACTTACATTTACAGAGTGATAGCCTGTTGTTGCTGCTGCGCTGGTGTCGCACCGTGTGTGCCTTCTACAATATCAAGGTTGGTAACTTGTTGTGGTAGGTTTGATGTTTTTGTTACAGGTTTGGTACACCCGTCAGTAAACATCAAAGCAACAATTTAGTCTGTCATAGGTTGAGGATCTTTGTGATAATCTGACTTGAATTCACCATTGAGTAATCAGAGGTTCTGTTAGGTAGGAATCATGTATAAATGACATATTCAATACTCTATACTTTGCACTGATTAGTCCAATTAATGATCGTGTTGAAAGTTTGACTAACTGATATTTTCAATGGATTGATTTTTACCTTGGGGAAATGTGGAAAATTTGTCATTCACAGCTCTCTTCATTGATAACAATATGTAATTGATGAATACTTTTGGAATATCTGGTTGCAGCAACTTCAAGTGATTATAAAATGTTGATGTCATACATTGTGTTGTTAATTAATGTCAGCTTCTGAAAATATCACTCTGTGGAAAGTCATATTTGCTACTTCATCCTTACCCTCCTGCTAAAAATGTGCTGTTTTCTAAGTTGCTGTAACACTGCAGACAAACCTCAGTTTGAACAGTGATCCCTTTACATGGATGAAATGGTTTCTGAACTGTACGCTGAGATAATGGGCAGAGTTCCCTCAAACTTCATACACTATTACGTCACCAAACCAAAAGCTAGTGCTCTCAAGTGTGAGGGCAATGTCATTATTGCTGTAAATAAAAAATTGGTTCTGACACAACACCAAAGAATTCATATAAAATTTCTAACTCAGCTTCCATTCAAATAAATATGTGGGTGTTCAGAATATATTTCCTACATTAACAAATGTCATTTATCAATACAACACTGGTGAATTGTTGGTAGTATTGTATGTACTTTGTTGATATTGTGATAGAATTTCATGCCATGAAGTTTGCTATCAAGTTTGATTTATTTTGTGAAATAGACAGGTCATGCTGATCCCCTTTTTTTTTACAATTTGTTTTGATGTCGGCATTTCAGATCAGATTTGAGTAATTTTTCATTTCCTCAATCTACAGATTGAAAACTTCACTGTGTCTTTTGGAGATGGCCGTGCGATGTGTGCTTTGGTCCATCACTACCATCCAGCTCTCCTTCCTTGGAACTCTATTAACACTAAGACTACCTTGACGTATCAAGATACCCTAGATGAGGAGATGTGTAGTCGTAACCAAGATCTCAACTCCTCTGAAGTGTTTAGTCCAGCTCCATTTCCAGGTAATATTACAAATACAGAAAAAAAAACTCTCAAAATGTCCCAAATACAAGCTTTTTATTTTTGTTTTTGCAAGTATGAACAATCTAGAATAAATGAAATCTCACTACAGACGCCACTAAGAGACCATCATTCCTTCAATACTACATCCATTGCTTTATAGAGTGACCAGTTCAGATTAGTCTAAACATGACGTTGTTAAATGTACTTGAAAAAGTAGGTTAAACAGAAACTTAAGTTTTATCTTTACTCTTTGTCTTTTTATACGTGTCATGTGACTATGATTAACGTGTTACTACATTTCTGTGAGCTTCCTCATCAAGATTGATCTTGTAGGATTTACAGCTTAAAGCAGAACAAGATCAGCAATTCAGATTTTTTCTTTTTGGTTTTTGTTTTTGTTTGTTTGGGTTTTTTTTTTTAGATATATAAACATGAATAATCACCATAACTTGACTGTGCATGCTCCTATCTAAAATGTTTCTTTTTAGTTGGTGCCATTTTGAGAGTGTCACATATTTTATATTTTAAGAATTTTCGGTCATCATTTGACTTTGGATTTCATATAAGTTCCATACCTTTCTTATTTCTTCTTTTAACTGAAACTATTTTCAATGACAAAATGTTCCTTTAGGGACGGTTCTAGATAGAAATTTCTTCCTTATCATAGTGGCTGAAGATCCAGTACTGTTTGAAGAATTCCTTTCCAATGAGAAGGCTAACTTCAAGTTACTGTATGAGAAAGTATCAGAATTAGGAGGTATTCCCCTGATGCTGCGGTCGATGGACATGTCCAACACCATTCCCGATGAGAAAGTTGTGGTCACGTACATCTGTTACTTGTGTGCACGCCTATTGGATATCAGGCATGAGTCACGCGCAGCAAGAGTCATCCAGCTGGCATGGCGTAGACACTATCTGAGGAAATCAAAGAAGGAGCTACAGGTCAGTCAAATCATTTTATAGTAACAATAGAGACAACCATTTCTTAAGTTGCAAAGTCCACACCCTTCAAAAATTTAACCAAAAGATCACGGAAGTTCAAAAAACAGAATTTGAATAAAGAAAAATAATGATGGGGATCAGAGTATCCTTCAAGGTCAAACACAACTCAAGGAATACATTCACAAAGAGCAAAAACAGAATGTTTTATTACACACTCATGTTATACAGAGCAGAAAAGTTAGTAACTCGTATGTAGAACTTACAGAAAAGGGAGTTACTCACATGCAGTGCAGAAAAGTGAGTAACTCACATGCAGTACAAAAAAAGTGAGTAACTCGTATGTAGAACTTACAGAAAAGGAGTTACTCACATGCAGTACAGAAAAGGGAGTTACTCACATGCAGTACAGAAAAGTGAGTAACTCGTATGTAGAACTTACAGAAAAGGGAGTTACTCACATGCAGTACAGAAAAGGGAGTCACTCACATGCGGTACAGGAAAGTGAGTAACTCGTATGATTACTCTTGAACTTTTAAGGACTTATTACTGGTAATCACATGCATTGTTTCCTGGGGATGACCATTGCTGCTCATGAATAGTCACATGTTCACCCAAATGATTATCAACAATAAGAGTCCCTTATTGATTGTCATCCATCATTATTTGCAAGAATTACTGGACTTTGAACGCCATAAATATACCTTTTTTTTTTACTTAGCGCACACTGCCTATTTGCAGTTAGATTTTAACCATATTTGGTACGTATGTTTATGTATACAAGATATAGCTAGGATTTGATAACCATTGGAATCTGTGCATATTTAAAAGAGTTATAGGACTTATGCAAATGGTCATTATGGCCTCCCTCAATAATGTGTTGATTTTGGTGCAGATTGGAAATTCTAATATAGATGCTGTGGCTTCAGATTGCCTGAGGCATTTTAAAAACTTCTCCTCAAGAACAGCTGGAACAATTGACTTCTTATTTGGTATGAATGATACTTGTGGAGTCCCAAACAAGTATTGATATTTCTCATGCAGATTGGAAAATTGAATATGGCCACAGTGGCTTCTGATTGGCTGAGATATTTTTTATTTTTTTTCTCAAGAATGGGTGGTGAAATGGATTCTTAACTTGGTGAGAAATTATCCTTATTAGGTCAGGACCATGCAGTGCTACTTTTCGCTCTGCCCTGGCATATGAAACCTGTGCAATAGGTTATAGGCAGGGGCCTTCCTTGACATTGGTCTGGTTGTATTCAAAAGAAATAGTCATAAAGGAGTCTATTCAAAACAGATTTTTAAACACATGTAATAAATCCAGTAAGCTCAATACTTTATGTTTTTAGATGAAGCATGACGCAGCTATTGTCATCCAAAGAGCAGCAAGACGTTTCTTGAGTTCCAGACAGGCTGTCAGGAGAAATGAGGGGGCAAAGGTCATACAGAAACATGTGAGGGTGTGGCTGGCTCGGAGGACTATCGCACAGCTGAGAGCGGCAAAAGAGGAAAGGTGTCGCACAAATGCTGCTTGTGTTTTACAGGTATGATTATACCTTGTTACTCAGTAATACAAAAGATTGATGTGGATTCATGTCATGATATAAAGGTGTATTGTTTGTAACATTTCAAGGGGCATTCTACTCAAGAACCATTTGTAAAACATAGTTTATAATATGGTGACGGTAAAAGGATAGCACAGATATACATAATACCTTTCTGTTTATTAAAAGGGTTTAAGGAATTAATTTAGAATATTAACATACCGTGTATATGCACTCTGTAGGGCAGTATTCGGATACGAAAATGATTTACAAATATTCACTTTTGCAAGTATGAAAAATTAACATTTGGAAGATTGCTAAAATTCATCTCTTATTTGTTGATGAATTGTCCAATTAAATAAAACTTCGTCATCTGTACAATTCATCTTGACATTGAGTAGCCTATCAATGGATGGTCTGAGGTCACTGTTATCAAGGCAATCTCCACAGCCAGGTGTACACATGTCTGCTTATCCACTGAGGGTTTAGTGGCAGTTATTGTGACAGATGCAAGCAAAAACAAAATTTTGTCTCTAAAGCTCATTTCTGCACGTGTACTTTAAAATGAGCAAAAATGATAGAATTGTCCATTAATTTCATATTATAATGATTACTGGACCTATGTTTGAAGCTTGAAAATAATGTCTCTTTTTCTTAAACTTTTAGTCGGATAATAATAATCTCATGGCTAAATATATGCAGCACAGGCCACCATTGTATCAGAAGTGGATTTACTGTTACCATCGTACATATAAACAATAAAGAACCAATACATGTCATACAGTGCTATGATGATTCTGCTAATTCTGTTTTCGAAGTTTTCTAAAAGGATATGTTTGTGTCTTAATATCTAACTATTTCTTTAGACATATTTTTGCATTATATTTGCATTTTCATGATAGCGTTCAATTGCCTAAAAGCTGACGTTAAACTAATTATGTGCTGTGCTTATCCTTTTCCAAAATTTGAGCCATTGTGGATGCCATTCTGTTCTGTAATGGTAAGACATTACCGATACAGTAGTGTGGAACTTCTGCCTTCTGACATGAAAACAAATATTCAAATACTGAATCGGACAAATATTTGAATACAGAATCAAATGAATATCAAATCGTAGTTTCTATCAAGTTGACATCCTTAGTATTTTTTGTGGATGGTAGCTAGTGTAACTTCAAGGCGAACCCCGTCTGTACTAACAACTGTGTAGCTGGATCATAGCCAAATCGTGTTCTTTGTCTGAAACAAGGCAACTTTGTTTACTGTCTTCCACCTTTCACCTTATCTTTGTAATTCAAGTGAAATTGAGAAATGCAAATACTTTGTAATCTAAAAACTTCTTTGAATTTCAACTGCAGTGTCCCATTTCGTTTTTGTTTTTGTAGCTTAAAATCATGCATCAGGGTTAGAAGTGATAGTCACCAAGAGGTGATTTAAGATAACTTTTTAACAACTTTATAACATCCAATTAATTTAATACCTCACAACCTAGAATAAAGTAACATTTTACAGTGGTTAGTTTTGTTGATTTTAGGTGGCCGTCAGGAAGTGGCTGAAAAAGCAAATGACCAAGAAAGAGACAGCTGCTGTCAGAATTCAGGCTGCTTGGAGATGTCACAGGGAAAGGAAAAGGTTCAGACAAATCAAGTCTGCCTGTGTTATCATACAAAACCAAGCACGGATGTACTTACAAAGATCACGCTATGGAAAAGTCAGACAGGCTGTGATTTGTATACAGCGAAGATATAGAGCCCATCATTCTATGACGAGTCATAGGAAAGAATTCCTGCAAATAAGATCTGCTGCCATCACCATACAGAGTAGATACCAAAGTCTGGTGCAAAGGCGACTGTTCCTCCGACTAAGAGCTTCTGCAGTGAAAATTCAGGCTACAGTTAGGACATGGATAGACAGACGTAGGTATTTGTCACTCAGGCTTGCTACAATAAACATACAGCGACATTATCGTGCCAGGCAAAAATCAGCAGAAGTCAGAAAGGAATTCCTTTTGCAGAAACAGGCTGCTGTTTTGATTCAAGCTCACTTCAGGAGTTACACGGTCAGAAAAAACAGGAAACGCCTTCATGCTGCAGCCGTCGTCATTCAAAGTCGCTTCAAAGGTCTTCATGACCGTAAGAGATACCTGAAAGTGAGATCTGCTGTGGTTACACTACAGAGATGGATACGGGCAGTTACTCAAGGCAGAAAGGCAAGGTCAGATTTTAAAAAGGTCAGGTCCTCAGTGGTGAAAATACAATCTGTTTACAGAAGTCACAGGGCAAGGTCAGACTTTTTAACAAAGAGGTCTGCAGCTATAACCCTTCAAGCTCACATCAGAGGTCATCAGAAAATGGAAGCATTTAAGAAACTGAAGGCTGCTGCAATAAACATACAGAGAAGATTTCGAGCTCAGAGAGAGGGAGAAAGAGTGAGAAGACAGTTTTTAGTACAGAAGGGTGCTACGATGACAATACAGGCTTTCTATAGAGGTCACAAGGTCAGACAGCATATAAAGTGTCAACATTTAGCAGCCACTAAAATTCAGGCGGTGTTTAAGGGACACGTACAGAGGAATATATTCCTTAGGGTGAGAAAGGCAGCCTTAATTATACAACAGAAGGTCAGAGCAAAATTTGAAGGAAACATAGTAAGAAAAGAATTTCTAATAAAGAAAGGAGCTGCCATGACAATACAGGCACATTTCAGGGGACACATGATCAGAAAGAACATAAAACGCCTTCATGCTGCAGCCGTCGTCATTCAAAGTCACTTCAAAGGTCTTCAAGACCGTAAGAGATACCTGAGAGTGAGATCTGCTGTGGTTACACTACAGAGATGGACACGGGCAATTACTCAAAGCAGAAAGGCAAGGTCAGAATTTGAAAAGGTCAGGTCCTCAGTGGTGAAAATACAATCTGTTTACAGAAGTCACAGGGCAAGGTCAGACTTTTTAACAAAGAGGTCTGCAGCTATAACCATTCAGGCTCACATCAGAGGTCATCAGAAAATGGAAGCGTTTAGGAAACTGAAGGCTGCTGCAGTAAACGTACAGAGAAGATTTCGAGCTCACAGAGAGGGAGAAAGAGTGAGAAGACAGTTTTTAGTACAGAAGGGTGCTACTATGACAATACAGGCTTTCTATAGAGGTCACAAGGTCAGACAGCATATAAAGTGTCAACATTCATCAGCCACTAAAATTCAGGCAGTGTTTAAGGGACATGTACAGAGGAATATGTTCCTTAGGGTGAGAAAGGCAGCCTTAATTATACAACAGAAGGTCAGAGCAACATTTGAAGGAAACAGAGTAAGAGAAGAATTTCTGACAAAGAAAAGTGCTGTTTTGACCATCCAGGCATACTTCAGAGGTCATGTGGTTAGACAGGAAGTAGCAACGATGAACTCGGCAGCAAGCATGATACAATCTAAGGTCAAAGGCTACCTTCAACGAAAAAGGTTTCTGAGGCTGAAAGGTGCAGTTTTAGTTATTCAACAGCGATTTGCTGCACAGTTAGCGGGACGACGCCTTAGACAGGAGTTCTTGGTGAGGAAAGGTGCAGCTATGACAATACAAGCAGCGTACAGGGGGTACACAGTCCGTAAAGAATTGGATAGATATAACAATGCAGCTGTGATCCTCCAGAGCTTTTACAGAGCCCATAGAGCCACTACCTTGTATAAACAGCAAAGAACAGCAAGTATACATATACAGCAGTGGTACAGGAACCTCATGTTTACCCGACAAATCAAGGCAGAATATTTCAGGATGAGGGCTGCAGCAGTCACTATTCAAGCCTGGTACAGATGTCATAAAGCTGTTCAAGCTCTGAAAATGGACAAATCTCGTGTGATCACAGCACAGGCAGTTGTCAGGGGTTTTCTGCAGAGGAGGCGTTTCGTCAAACTTTGTCATGCAGCTGTACTTATCCAGCGCAGATTTGTTGCCAGGAGGCAGTGCATTAACATGCGAAGAGCATTCCTTATCAAGAAAGGTGCAGCCATGACAATACAGGCTGCATTTCGAGGCCATCTGGTTCGGCGAGGTTTAAAGAGGATGCATGCAGCTGCTGTAGTTATACAGAGTTCTTATAGAACTCATCAGGCTGTGTTATCATACAGTAAACAGCGCAAGGCGGTGACGACCATTCAGTCATGGTATAGAAACTGGCTCTACTCTAGAACTGTACGCTCAGACTATCTCTCCAAGAAAAATGCAGCTGTAGTCATTCAGAAACATTACCGATGTTTTCTGGCTAGAAGGATTTATCTTCGTGAACTTTCCAACATCATACTTGTCCAGGCCCTGGTCCGTGGTGTGTTACAAAGGATAGCGTTCAGACGACTTCAGTGGGCTGTCACTGTTTGTCAGACACAATACCGTTCCATGCTGGCAAGTCATCAACAACGGTGCTGGTTTCAAAATCTCCGATCTGCAGCCATCGTGTTTCAATCAGCTTGGAGGAAACGTAGAGCCCAGATGATGTACATAAAAACTAGACAAGCAGTCATCTTATTGCAGTCACATGTCAGAATGATTCAAGAAAGAAAACATTTCTGTCAGTTGAAAGCAGTCACTATTAGGTGTCAAAAACTTGTTCGTTCAAAGCGCCAAATGCAGGAATGTCGCAAAGACTATCTGATTACACTAGGCGCTGTTATTACCATTCAGGCTCATGTTAAGTCTTACTTGGTACAAAAACAATACCATGCCACCCTGAGGTCCGTGATCTGTATTCAAGCACATGTGCGAAGATTCCTTGCACAGAGACAATATAGGAAAGTATACAATAATGTTGTCGCTGTACAGACTCGCTTCAAGGCCAATATAGCTGCAAAGAAGCAAAGGAGCCTATTCCTTGTGCAAAGGAAAGCAGCCATAGTAATCCAGACTGCTTTTAGGAAACAACAAGCCAGAAGACATATGCAGAGAGTCAGGTCAGCCATTGTAATCCAGAAAATTTTCAGAATGTTTGTTACTAGACAAGATTTCATGAGACAGAAAAATGCTGCTATAGTGTTGCAGTCCCATCACAGAGCATGCATAGCACGTCGGGAGAAAGAAAGACGCAAGCTTGCAGTTGTATCTCTCCAAAGGGCAATGAGAATGTTTTTATTCAGACAGAGGCTTCGTCAATGGATGCAACGGAGAAATGAGGCTGCGATGAAAATTCAGTGCTGTTTACGAGGCTACCTAGCCCGTCGATGGGTGAGGAAAACCAAGTCAGCCATTGTTATACAGTCTGTATACAGGATGTATCATCAGAGGAATCTGTATCGTCGTACAACCAAGAGTATCGTACTCTTACAGAGTGCATTACGAGGAACCCTAGCCAGACGAAGGGTGAATCATACTCGCACACAGCACAGTGCTGCAACTTGTATACAAAATGCCTACAGATCATTCAAGAGGAGACAAGCAGAGCAGGTATGTCTATAGAACTACCAGACAACTGAACTTACTGCATGTTATCTTTAATGTGTATACTTTTTCATGATTGAAATTCACAACAAATAATGAGAGGTTTTAAGATGGTAAAGGACTAGATATTGTAAAGACCATTATTTTCTATATAAATAATGAGAGATTTTAACACTGGTAAAGGACTAGATCCTGTAAAGACCATTATTTTCTATATAAATAATGAGAGATTTTAACACTGGTAAAGGACTAGATACTGTAAAGACCAATATTTTCTATATAAATAATGAGAGATTTATGACTTGAGAGTTTGTCTGTGTTATGTAATGGCTAGAGAGACAAAGACGGTTTCAGAGTGGTAAAGGGCTAGATACTGTAAAGACCATTATTTTCTATATAAATAATGAGAGGTTTATGCCTTGAGAGTTTGTCTATGTTATGTAATGGCTAGAGAGACAAAGACGGTTTAAGACTGGTAAAGGACTAGATCCTGTAAAGACCATTATTTTCTATATAAATAATGAGAGGTTTATGCCTTGAGAGTTTGTCTGTGTTATGTAATGGCTAGAGAGACAAAGACGGTTTCAGAGTGGTAAAGGGCTAGATACTGTAAAGACCATTATTTTCTATATAAATAATGAGAGGTTTATGCCTTGAGAGTTTGTCTGTGTTATGTAATGGCTAGAGAGACAAAGACGGTTTTAGAGTGGTAAAGGACTAGATACTGTAAAGACCATTATTTTCTATATAAATAATGAGAGGTTTATGCCTTGAGAGTTTGTCTGTGTTATGTAATGGCTAGAGAGACAAAGACGGTTTAAGAGTGGTAAAGGACTAGATACTGTAAAGACCATTATTTTCTATATAAATAATGAGAGGTTTATGCCTTGAGAGTTTGTCTGTGTTATGTAATGGCTAGAGAGACAAAGACGGTTTCAGAGTGGTAAAGGGCTAGATACTGTAAAAATTGTAATTTTTTGAGGATGGAGTAAAAGCATGAGAAACAGACACCTGAAAATTCCTGTTTTTTGATAAAATTACTAGGTTCTTGATTAAAAATTTTGTTTAAATCACCAGAGTTTGTAAATTTAAAAAAAAAAAAAAAAAAAAAAAATTTTTTAAACAATGCTTTGATGAATGTTGATTTCTTTTGAGGGAGTCTTGACCCCAACAGTAGGTTCTATTACTATCAGTTTTATATGTAAGACTTGTGTAATTATGTGAACAGGTATTGAGGAGGAGAAGAATGAGGTACCTACACAAGTTCAGTGAAGTGGTGTCTGCCCACCTGTCTGCCATGAAAATACAACGCTGTTACCGTAACTACCGAGTCCTGTTGGTTGCACAGCAACGCCTTAACACCATCATAATTATACAGGTGAGATCTGGGAGACAGTAAAAACACAAATGATAAGCATCAGCAGCTTTTAAATATTCTTACTTCAAGGACATTGATGAAGTGAGGCCAAAACATGTTAAACATGTGTTTCCTATTCCTTGAAATTTCCAGCGTAAAAACCATATGTAAACCGAACATTTTATTTTTGGGGGACATTAACATTTATGATAAGAAAAATGGAACCTTACTGGATTACAATATATCAAAGATATTGGGTTTATTTGCAGCGATGGATGAAGGCAAAGTTGGCTCGTATGCGATTTCTACGGTTTGTGTCAGCTGTCAGGGTGGTTCAGGCAAGGGCGAGACAGTATCTCCATCTCCGTCAGGCCTCTGTGATAAAACTGCAGGCAGTTGTTAGGAGTTGGCTAGCACGACGATGGATCGTCCGTCGAGAAGAATCGGTCATAAAACTTCAGGTTTGTTGCTAGATCATACATAAAAATGTCTGTTTTCTCTGTTGTGTATTTCGTGAAAACAAGTCACAGATTTTTCTTTCTGTATGGGCTGTAACTCTTGAAAACAGACCTTGTATATTGCCAGGGTATAATTTATGTCTAGATTAGAAGAAGTCTTTATCACAGTATGGCTCAGGGAGCAAACCATAGCTAAATAATAGATTGTATTGGCATGAAAGTCATAAACTGTCACTGGTGACTGCTGGTAATAGGAACTGGTCGCTATAGACAGGGGGAGGGAATTGTAAACCTGTGTCATCAATTCTTCAACACCATATACCTTACATTCATGATATTTGAACGTTTTTCGATAGTCATTTTAAACTGAGGTCATTAAAGGCTGATTTGACAGGACTATGAAGAACATCATTTAGAGGAACTTTCCTTTTTTAAAGCACAGTAATGTAACTATACATAGATGAACATGAGTGCCACTTCATACTGATTTGTGATGGTGTCATGAGTTAGACAGACAGTGAACCAGTGTTAGAGGGACAGTGAACCATTGTTAGAGGAAGAGTGAACCAGTGTTAGGGGGATAGTGAACCAGTGTTAGAGGGACAGTGAACCATTGTTAGAGGAAGAGTGAACCAGTGTTAGGGGGATAGTGAACCAGTGTTAGAGGGACAGTGAACCAGTGTTAGAGGGCTAGTGAACCAGGGTTGGAGGAAGAGTGAACTAGTGTTTAAGGGATAGTGAACCAGTGTCAGAGGGATAGTGAACCATTGTTAGAGGGACAGTGAACCAGTGTTAGAGGGACAGTGAACCAGTGTTTGAGGGATAGTGAACCAGTGTTAGAGGGATAGTGAACCAGTGTTAGAGGGATAGTGAACCAGTGTTAGAGGGACAGTGAACCAGTGTTAGAGGGACAGTGAACCAACCAGTGTTAGAGGGACAGTGAACCAGTGTTAGAGGGATAGTGAACCAGTGTTAGAGGGACAGTGAACCAATGTTAGAAGGACAGTGAACCAGTGTTAGAAGGACAGTGAACCAGTGTTAGAGGGATAGTGAACCAATGTTATTGGAACTAGGTTTTTTGTGTGGTCTGTCACAATTGGGGGGAAATAGTGTTATAAGCAGTTGTTAGCTTGCTTATAATGATGCTAATAAGAGACGGAGTGTATTATAACCCCAAAAATTTAAACAAAATTCGGTTTTTCCTTTTCAGTCTATCTGGAGAGGCAGGAAAGTAAGAAAGGCTTATCGCTCAAAGAAATTTGAAACTATCCGCAAGAACCTGAAGGAGGCGACAAAGTCTGCTACGGAGGATAGAAAGCTAGGGAACAGGACAGAATCAGCACTGGATTATCTCCTTAAGTACAAGCAGCTGTCACAGATCCTTGAAGCTTTGATTCATCTCGGTAAGGCTTAACTTAACATAATCACAATATTACTGTTAATGGTATCACATTCTAATAGGGATTACATGTAGACACATCACAAGTATCATACAAAAGGCCAGCTAAAAATCCATTATGAAATGTCAAATGTGAATTTCATTTCATGTTTTAATGTAACCAGCAAAAAAACAGATGAATCTTATTAATCAGTCTACTATTTATCAAGTAATATGCCCCCCAATGTAGTGCTGAGATGTTTGTGTCGTTTCTTATAAAGTTACATGAGCAAAATTTTACTGAAACTCTGTGATAAGGAAAGTAAAATTGGATATTTTCACAGAAACATCGACACGTCTGTCACCAGCCTGTTGCCAGCGGATGGTGAACGTTAATGCCGTCGGAGTGATCTATCGTCTGATACAGAGTTGTAATCGTAGTCAACCACACATGGAGATCATCCGGTATTCCATCAACATTCTGCTCAACCTAGCAAAGGTAACCACTTTAAATATCATCTTCCTAGCTGAGAGTGAGGGCCACTGCATACCAGTTTGTGATGGTGTCACTGAGAGTGAACCAGTCTTAGGGGGACAGTGAACCAGTGTTAGAGGGATAGTGAACCAGTGTTAGAAGGATAGTGAACAAGTGTTAGAGGGACAGTGAACCAATATTAGAGGATAATGAACCAGTATTAGTGGGACAGTGAACCAGTATTAGTGTGACAGTGAAACAGTGTTAGATGGATAGAGAACCAGTATTAGAGGATAATGAACCAGTATTAGAGGGATATTGAACCAGTATTAGTGGGACAGTAAACCAGTTTTAGAGGGATAGTGAACCAGTGTTAGAAGGATAGTGAACAAGTGTTAAAGGGACAGTGAACCATTTTTAGAGGGATAGTGAACCAGTGTTAGAGGGACAGTGAACCAGTGTTAGAAGGATAGTGAACAAGTGTTAGAGGGATAGTGAACCAGTGTTAGAAGGATAGTGAACAAGTGTTAGAGGGATAGTGAACCATTGTTAGAGGGACAGTGGACCAGTATTATTGGGATAGTGAACCAATGTTAAAGGGACAGTGGACCAGTATTAGTGGGATAGTGAACCAGTGTTAGAAGGATAGTGAACAAGTGTTAGAGGGATAGTGAACCATTGTTAGAGGGACAGTGGACCAGTATTAGTGGGATAGTGAACCAGTGTTAGAAGGATAGTGAACAAGTGTTAGAAGGATAGTGAACAAGTGTTAGAGGGATAGTGAACCATGGTTAGAGGGACAGTGGACCAGTATTATTGGGATAGTGAACCAATGTTAGAGGGACAGTGGACCAGTATTAGTGGGATAGTGAACCAGTGTTAGAAGGATAGTGAACAAGTGTTAGAGGGATAGTGAACCATTGTTAGAGGGACAGTGGACCAGTATTAGTGGGATAGTGAACCAGTGTTAGAAGGATAGTGAACAAGTGTTAGAAGTTTAGTGAACCAGTGTTAGAAGGATAGTGAACCAGTGTTAGAAGGATAGTGAACAAGTGTTATGGATTTGCGATTTTGTACATTATTTCACAGGTGCAGGAATTCGCTTTAGGTGCCCATAATTAGAATCCAGTCTTTCAAAGGAATGTATAATATTTGACTTCGTAATCAAAATATATATCTCTTAAGACAATTACTGATGGTTTTTATTAGAAGGATCTGACATTTTGAAATCCAACAACAGGGCAATGCATTAGCTTTACTTACTAATGAGTATAATTACATCATGTCACACTAAATCTGCGGGTATAGTGTGCAGGTACATTTTTGGGTTCAGATTTTTTAAAAATGATAATAATAGAAAGTATATATGATATAGATATTGATTACCAGTTACCGCAATGCATCAGTTAATGTCTTAATCCATCGATAATAAGGAAACCACAATGAGCGTGACCCTAACACATTCAATTATCTTAAATTCACGAAGGTGCCTTACCTAACAAGCATGGAAGGCTAGGCTAATTGAATAATGGTCATTAACAGGTAACAAGTTGAGTATAAGGGGATTGATGACACCCTGCTTGGGCTGAACACGTGCTATTGGCCAGAAAACGATATTGTTTTAAGTCTGGAAATGTTTAGTCCTACCCTGTATCCATAAAAGCAGGTGATATGTTCAGTATTGGTATGACCTGTCGTGGTATCTGTACCCACCGCGGTATCCGAAGGTACTTAATGATAGATTGCTTACAACGACTTCGACATGGGGAAATAGCAAATATTATTTACAGCCAAAGAGATACTGGAGGCCATTGACTGTGCCGAAAGACTTGGTTGTCTTGCCAACCTACTTTGACATCACAGAATCCAACATTCGGGCATGGAAGATCAAAGAAGAACGCCTAAAGTCCCAACCTCTGACCAGAAAAGCCGACAGATGGAGAGAGAGAGAGCTGTATAATTTTGAATGTGATCGCATTGGTGTCAGAACGACAGAGCTTCGTGTGCAGGCCATGCAGATCCAGAGAGGTCATAAGGTCACCGACTTCAAAGCATCAATAGGATGGGCTTTTAGTAGACCCGCCGTTGCTGTTGACGTGGAGGATAATTACGACCGGTTTTACCACAACAATGAAATCCTTCCGAGGGAGACTTCGATCCGGTGTTCTTTTACAATGACAACGATGAGGAGGAATTCCAAGGATTTCAGGGACTGTTTGTTTAGCACACAGTTAAGAAAGTGATTGGTGACTGTGTTTAGTGGAAAGTAACTTCAGTGCTATTAACCGCTTCAGTCTTTATATATAAAAAAATAATGAATTGCATTAAAACATTCAAAATTTATTTCATATTTTGTTGCTTTTTTTCTTTAATTTATCATGTATGACTGACGACTCTAAATATATTTATGTAAAGGGAGGTAATCCAATATGGCAGACAGAGAACTGAGGATGATAACCCCTAGAATGGCATGTTCCTTCGTATAGTACACACCCCCTTTTAGACATGACAACTTTTGCCTAAAAAAGTGTGCTCTGTACACACAAATTTACAGTATATATTGACTAATCAATACTAATGAATTTGTTTGCCAATTAAAATCTTAGTCCAATGACAAAACTTTATCAAGATGAGTGAACATTTTTTATTGTCAGTCCTTAAACTTACCAATCTTTTCAAAGTAAAGGGAGGATATTAATTTCTTAAAAATTAAAAGTTAAGTTTGCTCATCTTCACACCATCCTAAGCCACCTGTGATACCGAACCCTCTCTACCTTCACCTCAGAGAAGTTATTATACACTAACAAATTCAGTTAGGTTAAACAGGATATGCACACATTTCAGATACCAGGCTGTCATTTACATCAAGATTGAGCTGGAAGTGTGTGTCTTTTCTGCTTGACTTTCTATCTGCTAAATGTGACTGGATTTCAATCAGATTTGGTTTTTAAGGTGTATACAGCTATCTTTCAGTCTGAGTTTGGTTACCAACATCATTTGATGACATTTCAGCAGAATTTATTGTACATAGCACTTCAACTCTGATTTGCTAATTATTTCCCTTACAATAACTTCGCTGAATGTGAATGAATTTTGATCAAATTTAGTTTGAAGGTGTATCTTTCCTTTAGCCTGAGGTTGATGTCATCTATTACTGTTTATGCATCATTCATCAGACACTATGATTATGATTTTCCAACTGGTTTCTGTGCATTAACTTTGCTTAATATCAACGGATTTCAAGGGAATGTTGGTTTACATATGTATTTTACTTTTCTTTAGTAAGACTGAAGCTGTCTTATGTATTAACCATTGAATTAGTTTGTTTCTACAAAACTATGTTCATTTCAGTGCTAACTTGTATCATCTGATATTATCAGGAAGTGATACCTGTATATGTAGATACAGGAAGTGATACCTGTATATGTAGATACAGGAAGTGATACCTGTATATGTAGATACAGGAAGAGATACCTGTATATGTAGATTTAGGAAGTGATACCTGTATATGTAGATACAGGAAGTGATACCTGTATATGTAGATTTAGGAAGTGATACCTGTATATGTAGATACAGGAAGAGATACCTGTATTTGTAGATACAGGAAGTGATACCTGTATATGTAGATACAGGAAGAGATACCTGTATTTGTAGATACAGGAAGTGATACCTGTATTTGTAGATACAGGAAGTGATACCTGTATTTGTAGATACAGGAAGTGATACCTGTATATGTAGATTAAGGAAGTGATACCTGTATTTGTAGATACAGGAAGTGATACCTGTATTTGTAGATACAGGAAGTGATACCTGTATATGTAGATTTAGGAAGTGATACCTGTATATGTAGATACAGGAAGTGATACATGTATATGTAGATACAGGAAGTGATACCTGTATTTGTAGATACAGGAAGAGATACCTGTATTTGTAGATACAGGAAGTGATACCTGTATTTGTAGATACAGGAAGTGATACCTGTATATGTAGATTTAGGAAGTGATACCTGTATATGTAGATACAGGAAGTGATACCTGTATATATATAGTTACAGGAAGGGATACCTGTATATGTAGATACAGGAAGTGATACCTGTATATGTAGATACAGGAAGTGATACCTATATATGTAAATATAGGAAGTGATACCTGTATATGTAGATAGGATACATTTGTAGATACAGGAAGTGATACCTGTATATGTAGATTAAGGAAGTGATACCTGTATTTGTAGATACAGGAAGTGATACCTGTATATGTAGATTAAGGAAGTGATACCTGTATTTGTAGATACAGGAAGAGATACCTGTATTTGTAGATACAGGAAGTGATACCTGTATTTGTAGATACAGGAAGTGATACCTGTATATGTAGATTTAGGAAGTGATACCTGTATATGTAGATACAGGAAGTGATACATGTATATGTAGATACAGGAAGTGATACCTGTATTTGTAGATACAGGAAGAGATACCTGTATTTGTAGATACAGGAAGTGATACCTGTATTTGTAGATACAGGAAGTGATACCTGTATATGTAGATTTAGGAAGTGATACCTGTATATGTAGATACAGGAAGTGATACCTGTATATATATATATAGTTACAGGAAGGGATACCTGTATATATATAGATACAGGAAGGGATACCTGTATATATATAGTTACAGGAAGTGATACCTGTATATATATAGTTACAGGAAGTGATACCTGTATATATATAGATACAGGAAGAGATACCTGTATATATATAGTTACAGGAAGGGATACCTGTATATATATAGTTACAGGAAGTGATACCTGTATATATATAGATACAGGAAGTGATACCTGTATATATATAGTTACAGGAAGGGATACCTGTATATATATAGATACAGGAAGGGATACCTGTATATATATAGATACAGGAAGTGATACCTGTATATATATAGTTACAGGAAGGGATACCTGTATATATATAGTTACAGGAAGTGATACCTGTATATATATAGTTACAGGAAGTGATACCTGTATATATATAGATACAGGAAGTGATACCTGTATATATATAGTTACAGGAAGGGATACCTGTATATATATAGATACAGGAAGTGATACCTGTATATATATAGATACAGAAGGGACCTGTATATATATAGATACAGGAAGGGATACCTGTATATATATAGATACAGGAAGTGATACCTGTATATATATAGATACAGGAAGTGATACCTGTATATATATAGATACAGGAAGTGATACCTGTATATATATAGATACAGGAAGGGATACCTGTATATGTTGTTTTTTTTTTCGTGTTTATGTTTTTTTCTGATGGATAGTTTATAGCTCTTTGCAGTTTCTAATTTTCAGTTTTCTTTGTTTCAGTATGAAAAAACTCGTTCTGCAGTTTATGAGGTAGAAGGTGCCACAGAATGTCTTCTTGAGCTGATGCAAGTGTATCGAGAGAAGGGACACATTTTCAGCTGTTCTTGTACCCTGATGGGTATCCTGGGCATGATGGATGATAAGAAACAGGCAAGTACTCAGTTCTATTTCGTCAATTACCCCAATAGTTCTTAAAGTAAATCATAAATTTATATTCAAATCTTCCTAAGAAACCTATTTTATTATCCAGCAACTTCCTCCAGTATTCAATGATTTTCTCCAGTATTCAGTGAGTTCTTCCTGTAACCAGTGACTTCCTCCTGTATTCAGTCAGTTCTTCCTATATCCAATGACTTTCTCCTGTATTCGGTCAGTTCTTCCTATATATAGTGACTTTCTCCTGTATTCAGTCAGTTCTTCCTATATATAGTGACTTTCTCCTGTATTCAGTCAGTTCTCCCTATATATAGTGACTTTCTCCTGTATTCAGTCAGTTCTTCCTATATATAGTGACTTCCTCCTGTATTCAGTCAGTTCTTCCTATATATAGTGACTTTCTCCTGTATTCAGTCAGTTCTTCCTATATCCAATGACTTTCTCCTGTATTCAGTCAGTTCTTCCTATATATAGTGACTTTCTCCTGTATTCAGTCAGTTCTTCCTATATCCAATGACTTCCTCCTGTATTCAGTCAGTTCTTCCTATATATAGTGACTTTCTCCTGTATTCAGTCAGTTCTTCCTATATGTAGTGACTTTCTCCTGCATTCAGTCAGTTCTTCCTATATATAGTGACTTTCTCCTGTATTCAGTCAGTTCTTCCTATATCCAATGACTTTCTCCTGTATTCAGTCAGTTCTTCCTATATATAGTGACTTTCTCCTGTATTCAGTCAGTTCTTCCTATATCCAATGACTTTCTCCTGTATTCAGTCAGTTCTACCTATATGTAGTGACTTTCTCCTGTATTCAGTCAGTTCTTCCTATATATATAGTGACTTTCTCCTGTATTTAGCGTCTTCTTCCTATATCCAATGACTTTCTCCTGTATTCAGTGACTTTCTCCTGTATTCAGTGACTTTCTCCTATATCCAGTGACTTTCTCCTGTATTCAGTGACTTTCTCCTGTATCCACTGACTTTTTCCTGTATTCAGTGACTTTCTCCTGTATTCAGTGACTTTCTCCTGTATTCAGTGACTTTCTCCTGTATCCACTGACTTTCTCCTGTATTCACTGACTTTCTCCTGTATTCACTGACTTTCTCCTGTATTCATTGACTTTCTCCTGTATTCACTGACTTTCTCCTCTATCCACTGACTTTCTCCTGTATTCACTGACTTTCTCCTGTATCCACTGACTTTCTCCTGTATTCACTGACTTTCTCCTGTATTCACTGACTTTCTCCTGTATTCAGTGACTTTCTCCTGTATTCACTGACTTTCTCCTGTATTCAGTGACTTTCTCCTGTATTCACTGACTTTCTCCTGTATCCACTGACTTTCTCCTGTATTCACTGACTTTCTCCTGTATTCACTGACTTTCTCCTGTATTCAGTGACTTTCTCTTGTATTCAGTGACTTTCTCCTGTATCCACTGACTTTCTCCTGTATCCACTGACTTTCTCCTGTATTCAGTGACTTTCTCCTGTATCCACTGACTTTCTCCTGTATTCACTGACTTTCTCCTGTATCCACTGACTTTCTCCTGTATTCACTGACTTTCTCCTGTATTCAGTGACTTTCTCCTGTATTCACTGACTTTCTCCTGTATCCACTGACTTTCTCCTGTATTCACTGACTTTCTCCTGTATCCACTGACTTTCTCCTGTATTCACTGACTTTCTCCTGTATCCACTGACTTTCTCCTGTATTCAGTGACTTTCTCCTGTATCCACTGACTTTCTCCTGTATCCACTGACTTTCTCCTGTATTCACTGACTTTCTCCTGTATTCAGTGACTTTCTCCTGTATCCACTGACTTTCTCCTGTATTCACTGACTTTCTCCTGTATCCAGTGACTTTCTCCTGTATTCACTGACTTTCTCCTGTATTCACTGACTTTCTCCTGTATCCACTGACTTTCTCCTGTATTCACTGACTTTCTCCTGTATCCACTGACTTTCTCCTGTATTCACTGACTTTCTCCTGTATTCACTGACTTTCTCCTGTATTCACTGACTTTCTCCTGTATCCACTGACTTTCTCCTGTATTCACTGACTTTCTCCTGTATCCAGTGACTTTCTCCTGTATTCAGTGAACTTAAGTGATGATATGAAACTGTATACAGTGACTTGTGTTCATTGACTTCCATTATGATAAACTGGATTAAGGTCTAAATATCAACTATTTTTTTTGTGAATTTTCACAACAGTGTTTGATCTATATTCAGCTACATTGTCCAGTATAACAATTGACATCATTTACCATTTTCCTGACATAAAATATCTTAAAGGTGACCTTGAATTGTATTCACAGCAGTAACAGCCTAAATTGGCAAGCAGAATTTAACAGCCAGTTTTAGCTCAATTCAAACAAAGTTAAGGGAAATGGACTAATCATTTTGTACAAAAGAATGGTTCCAGCTAGTTTTGATATTATTACAGTGTCATATAATATACACTAAGACCCCGATAAATCTAACTCCTTGAGATCATCTCGATAGTTTGAGGAACAGGGTATTCTAGTAATCAGAGGTTGTTGGGTATTGACCATCCATGTTTGTGAATGAAGTATTAAATAGTTCTTTGACCAGTCCAATTTATAATTATCATAAAGTTTTTAAGTAAATTAGTAACTGAGGTGGATTTATGATTGAGGTTGGTGATTGAGGTTGGTGATTGACGTAGATTTGTGATTGAGGTTTGTGATTGAGGCTGGTGATTGAGGTTGGTTTGTGATTGAGGCTGGTGATTGAGGTAGGTTTGTGATTGAGGTTGGTGATTGAGGCTGGTGATTGAGGTTGGGGATTGAAGTAGATTTATGATTGAGGTTGGTGATTGAGGTAGATTTGTGATTGAGGTTGGTGATTGAGGTAGATTTGTGATTGAGGTTGGTGATTGAGGTGGATTTGTGATTGAGGTTGGTGATTGAGGTGGATTTGTGATTGAGGTTAGTGATTGAGGTGGATTTGTTCTTAAGGTTGGTGATCAAGTCAACCTTTATATATATGTAGTCTTTGAGTGATCTGTTTTTATTCCCTACAAAATGTGTTGCAGGGAATATTGAATAACTAGGGCTCTGTATTTTACTTCTGTTTTGCTTCTTATAAACTGCTCATCTGAGTGTCTAAAAATCTTTAAACTTTGTACACATGTCATTTTAATTCCTAGTTGTGCTTTAGGCTCTCAATAAGATTTGATTTTGTAGGTCACCTGTCACAAATTCTAAAGTAACCTGTTGCGATTGCCTTCTGTTCGTTGTTGTCCGTTGTAATCAATTTTTTTTTCTTTTAATTTTCTTAATAACCAGAAGGCCCAGAGTTCTGATATTAGGACTGTAGCATGCTCAGATAAAGGGCTTCTAAGTTTGTTCAAATCAATAACTTTTACTGACTTTCAAGGTCACCGGGGTCAAAGGTATTAAAATCTTCCAAACAACTTTTGAATAACCGAAAGGCCCAGAGGTCTGATAATGGGGCTGTTGCCTGTTGGGAAGAAGTGCTAATAAGTCTGTTCAGGTGAATAACATTGACCCACTTTTAAGGTCACAGGGGTCAAATGTTTGAGTATTGGTATTCATTTTCAGTTGGAATTACAAAACAGGTTAGAATTATGTTGTCAAGGAGGTTTGATGTTTTGAAAACTTTAATGCAGGGCCTGAAGGGTTAGATTTGTTCATATTTCTGCACTGTCCTTTAAATACACACTTGCCACAACAATACTCTGCATGCTTTAATCTGTATACTAGATGCTGGATAAGGCAGTTTTGTTAAGTTTTTGCTTGTCATTCATTAAAAATAGAAATTCAACTCAGGTGACTGTTAAGGCCTATGGACCTCATTTTTTTTTCTTTTTTTATTTTTTTTTTTTTTGAAAAAGCATATTTATCATTCCTGTCTTTAACGTTCCTTATATCACCATTGTACTTTCTGAGATTGTGATTGAGGATCTTTCTATTGATAGTTAGGTGTATTGTGTTCAAAATCGTCAACATAACCATAGAAAATTCATCTGATTTCACACTGGGAGTTTCCGACTCTCCACCATGTTTAAGTCAATAATTAACTCAATGTACACACCTGGGAATGACAAATCATCCACCAAGAGCTGTCACATTGTGTCAAATCTACTTCTGTTTTACCAGCTTTTGTGATAACTGTGGTGAGTCTTTTGCTACACAAGACGGGTACCATAAAGCAGTTCAATTCTGGTGGGGTTTTTTTTCTTTTTTAGATTAAAAAACTGGTGTGGGGCTAAAAAAAATGGGATCAGGCGATGATGGGAATCTTAGAAATAATTTGTTATAGCATTGACATGGAAACAAATAGAAATTTATACAAAATATACTTTTAGCAAGCTTTTCTTGAATGCAACTCAATCACCGTTCAACTGTTTTACAAATACAGAGCTCATAACAAATAATATGCTAGAGCTTAATTACTGTCCAAAAAAATTTGTTGATGGACAAAACAAAACTGTTCTCAAGGTCATAAACAGTGAAAGATACTAAGGATCTGCCAATATGTTAACTTTTACTGTAAGTTTAATGTTGATACATAGGCAAAGATATTTCAATATACTGCATTTTGAGCAGTCAATCCAGTTGAGGGGCAGGGCCCAAAATTGGAAATTCTTAAAAATCTCTCTGTAAGGTCATTGTGTGAATTGGTCTGAAGCATCTTTTGTAGACAGAAACTTCATTTATAGCTCAGCTGGGCCCAGTAGGGGAAATAGAGTAAATTTTTTTAAATCCTACTCCTCCTGTACAGATGAATGAATAGTTCCCAAATCTGAAGTATTCTATGGTGAAGCTGAATCAGTTGTGTATAAACAGTTTATTCTGGCCCCCGAGGGTGGGAGGGATGGGGCCTGTTGGGGAAATAAAACAAACTCCTTAAAATCCTACCTTCCATTAGGGACGATAAATATCGCCCAAATTTTTTCAGAAGTATTCTTGAATGAAGGGGAACAAAATTTGTGTAAGGCTTGGTTTCCATTTGCCTTCAGGGCGGGGCCCAAATGGGGAAATTTCATATAAGAATGAATTGATATTGCCCATAATTGGTCTGAATTATTCTTTGGTGAAGGGGACTAAATACAAACAGTACAACCTGGCCCCCTAGGGCAGGAGGGGGGCCCATTTGGGGAAAGATAAGATTTTACCAGTCTTTCTTCCATATAAGAATATTGTCCAAGTTTGTTCTGAAGCAATTGAAATGAGCGCATCAATTTTTTTGACTGTAGCAACTCGTTACTATTTACTTGGAAATCTCAAATTAATCAGATTTGCATATACATGTTTGATCCCTCGTGTTGATAGGATTCCTGTGGTATATAATATTAAGCTTTCAGTGATGTAGCAGTGTATAGGCAGCACAAGAGAAATGTCACATTGTCACAGCAAACCTTGGCATTGAAAGTCCTGGGCTGAGGCCTTAACATTGATTTCCGACTCACGTGTCAGCTACTGCTGTGAACTTGACTTTTTATTCCCAAAACAGATCGTAACTGCTCAGTTTTGCGACTTTTAGGATTGGAGTATCATGAAAAGTTTGATCAATATTGGAAAGGTACATCGACAGCATTGCTTGCCATGTGGGAGGGTGGAGGCGTGCTGAGGGTGTTCTCACATGTTGGAACATGTGTATGTTGTAAGCTGGCCTTCTGTGGGTGTGCAGCTCTGTGAAGTCATCCCATCAATATAGAGAACAATTTTTGACGTAATCAGTAAACAAGAAAACTCTCCTCAAATAGATGATCAATAACAATTTCCAAACGGGGTAAAAAAGATAAACTCTTGTTGTTCTGTCAACATTCACACAGTTTTGCTGGCCAAGTTGAAGCCCTACTTGTTTTCTGTATGATCTACATCCTGAACAATCTAAATGTTTCACAACTGTTTATATTCTTTTCAAAATATTTGTTGGGATGTATTTTGGTAGGTGTTTTGTTGTCCATTCATTCATTGTAGGCTTTTATTTGTTAACTTTTCAACCAATTTCTTTCAACCTTGATACACTTAGTAAATATTATGTTTTTCTGAGTGACAGCTTGGGTAAACAAATTTGGAAGTCTTATTGTAATTTGGGTTTTTTGGGGTTTTTCCTTTAGAGTATCATAATCTTGCTTTTGACTGATCTTGTTTAGAATTGGTATGGTTTATTATCAAAAACATGTTTTCCCTTGTGACATTTTGCATAGGACATGTTTGGTGTTAAAGCGTGTTTCGCGAGGAATAGCTGTCATCAATCATTAGTATTTACTAGTTTGTTTATGATATACAGAATCAGCCTTAGTGCATGGGTCAAATTTGTTCAAACCTTACAACTGACAAACCAATGGCACAAAAGCATAGTATTTGGCCGGTGGGTTGCTGGGTTAAAGCCTGTAAAAAGTTTGCAAAAAGAAATGACCTTGACCCATATTCAAGGTCACATGGGTCAAATTTGTTAAAACCTTTAAATGACTTCTGCTAACTAACCCAGATTCATTAAAGTTTGATATATGGCTGACAGGTTCCAAGGATAAATAGTGTGACTTAGAGTACACACAACTACACATGTGAGACCTGTATACTAAACAGTGTGACTAGAGTACACACAACTACACATATGAAACCTGTGTACTAAATAGTGTGACTAGAGTACACACAACTACACATGTGAGACCTGTGTACTAAATAGTGTGACTAGAGTACACACAACTACACATGTGAGACCTGTGTACTAAATAGTGTGACTTAGAGTACACACAACTACACATGTGAGACCTGTATACTAAATAGTGTGACTTAGAGTACACACAACTACACATATGAAACCTGTGTACTAAATAGTGTGACTAGAGTACACACAACTACACATGTGAGACCTGTATACTAAATAGTGTGACTAAGAGTACACACAACTACACGTGTGAGACCTGTGTACTAAATAATGTGACTAGAGTACACACAACTACACATATGAGACCTGTATACTAAATAGTGTGACTAGAGTACACACAACTACACATATGAAACCTGTGTACTAAATAGTGTGACTAGAGTACACACAACTACACATGTGAGACCTGTGTACTAAATAGTGTGACTAGAGTACACACAACTACACATATGAGACCTGTGTACTAAATAGTGTGACTAGAGTACACACAACTACACATGTGAAACTTGTGTACTAAATAGTGTGACTGATAGTGGCACTTGATAGGAAACTCTTATTTCAAACACAAATACTTGCTTTTCCATTTCAGTGTAATGGAACTGATGACACAACAGATGATGGCTGCAAATTAAGATTTCTTATATTGTATTGTAATTCAGAGTTCACTGATACTATTTTTAGATAATATTGTAGTGAAGCATAGCTCAATAATGCTCTTAAGGGCGAGCTGTTATGGTTGTTGTTAACATACTGGAGACTGATTGTTGCCATGGTCACACCTGAGCAAGGCAAAACGTGGGAAAGGGAAAACGTTTGATGACCATCCACACACCAGGATATTGATCGATATAGTGATGTCACCAGCCATATGCAATCTGACCAAATATAGGTCCTCCAGTTTATTGCTTTGCTGCGTTATCAATATTTAGAGAATATGTGTCAGCAGCTGTCTTATGATTGAAGAATGAATAAGGAAAAACAGTGCAGATGATCTATGTTTGCTTACAGCTTGGGGTTTGACTTCTATAGCAACAGAAAGTGCACATTCTTGTCAACAATATCGGAATGCATCAATAACACATATGATGTTGTAGAGAGTTTGGAGAGACGGTTCATAGAAAGTATCGTTTTTTTAAGAGTTCTATACAAAATATTGTATATTTATTTATTATTAAGAACAATTTGAATCAAACGGGAAATTTGAGTTTTTTTTCCATCCATTCAGATTTTACAGGAGAAAACTTGACTATATGACTTATTTCAATGGTAGATATACTTACACTACATCAAACTAGAAAAACTCATGGCACCATATTACTACCAGGGTCGTCACATATAGATATAAACTGATGAACTGCGGATCCAGATTTTGACAATTTTAAGAAAATTAAACGTTTTATTCCCTTACAAAACATATTTAATATATACATGCTGTATGAATATAATGGAAATGAATAATTCAATGCATAACTGTCCCAAAAATTTTACATGTTTTGTGATTAAAGAATAGTTGTCAAATTTGCTATCAAATCTTTGTTTCTTTTACCAGCAAAACTGTCACCAAAAACCATGTGTTTTCCTTAATTCTTCAGTTTTTATGGAATATTTATCCATTTTTTTTTTTTTTCAATTTCTTTTAAGACTTTGAGATATATGTATTGAAATATACAAAAGGATACATCACCATATTTGTTTCTGAATTATGATCGATTATACTGCTGGTAGTGTTGTGAAATGACGTTGCAGATTAAGTACAGTTCCAAGGATTTCGGGTCGCTACACCTGGAAAGCCTCGTACCTCTACATTACCTTTGTTTAGCTCACAGTTTTCGTGCAAATCCAGTCAATAGAGAAGATTCTTTCAGAGCCTACTTCTCTAATAGAAATTATTGGATCTTGTTTGGATTTAGTCTGAAACATGGTTGGGTTAAGGGGTATCAGTTTTATATAAACAGTGGTTCTTGGACCACTAGGGTGGGATCAACAGGGCCTACTGGGGCAGGATTGGCAGGGCCCACTGGGGCAGGATTGGCACGGCCCACTGGGCAAATTAGAGAAAATTCTTTAAATCCAATCAATTTTCAATGAATGGATGGTCTTTGCCCCCTGGGGTAGGGGAATGAGAGAAATAGAGTAAATTCTTCAAAATTCTACTCCTCCTGTAGGAATGATTGAATTATGCCCAAACTTGGTCTGATGCATTCTTGGATAAACGGGAATCAATGTTGTATAACCTGCTGGGGGCTAGATGGGCATAGCACAATAGGAGAAATAGGGAAAGTCCTTTAAAATCCTTTTTCTGTAGGGATACATGGACTCTGTCCCAATATGGTCTGAGACATGCGTAGGTGAAGGGTATCAATTTTGTATGAACACTGGGTTCTGGTCCTCTGGGGCGGAGCTAAGTAGTGGAATAGAGCAAATTCTTTCAAATCTCCCTTCTATTGGAACTGAAGACATCCTTGGTGAAGATAACATAGTTTTATACTAACAATACATCTAACACCCCAGGTAGGAGGGACAAGGCCTTTATTAAACACTTTTCCTTCGGCTTGAATTAATCAATTAAGCAAACTCAACCATTTGAATGATACAGGCCCTATGGCCCTCTTGTTTATAAATTAGGTCCAGTTTACTTTATAACCACACTCAACATATAATCTACATGTGATTGCTCATTCATGTAATTCTTCGAATTTCTTCTCTACAGATGGTACTTGCTGACAAAAAGATGACGGGCAAAATTTTGAGTATCTATACTCTGACTTCAAGAAAACACAAGATCACAGAGAACAGGATGATCAGACAAGCCAAGATTTCCGCAGCCAAAAGTTTTAATGCTTCTTTGCCCATTTTGACCTTACAGAAAAGACAGAATCGGATCCATCCTGATTGGGTTTTACAACGCAACCAAATGAGACATATAGAGGATCCCCTCCAAGCTATCAAGTTTGTGCTGGACAACTTTCAGCTCACCCCAAAGTGAAAACAGACATTCATTTTAGGATAAAGATTTATGATCTTTAGACAACGTACACCATTCATAATTGTTTTGACAAAGTGAGATGAGTGAGCTAGGAGTGTGTGTCTGGGTTACAGCTTGCCCTATACCTAGATATCTACAGCAATTTTAACTGCTAAACTTGAAAAAAAAAAACATGACTATGTTTGTCAGCTTAAGGTGTTTTTCTCTATAATGTAGTGATGTCACAGAATGCTTCATCGTAAGTATAGCGATTTATTTATCTGGTGTTATTTTCCACCATTGTCAAGTATCTGGTCACTGACGTTTTATTTTCCATCACTTTCGAGTGTCTGATCACCGACATTTATTTTTCAATACTGTCGAGTGTCTGATCACTGACGTTTATTTTTCAACACTGTCGAGTGCCTGATTACAAATGTTTATTTTCCACCATTGTCGAGTGTCTGATCACTGACGTTTATTTTCCAACACTGTCGAGTGCCTGATGACAAATGTTTATTTTCCACCTTTGTCAAGTATCTAATAACTGACATTTAACAGCAACCTGCACCTTCAGATCAAAAATAGATACTAGTAGTTATTGTCAATAAACAGAGGCTGATATGTTTTTGTTCAAAAATAAATTTCAAGGTGTAATCAAAGTTTCCAATCCCACAGATGTAGTAATGGAAGCCGTCACATATTGGTGTTTTTATACTGTCTAGCTTAAATAGCCAAAATTATTCAAGTTGTAAACTTTAACTTATTTTGGGGTTTTGATGAGTAGTATATTTATCATGTAACATTTTAACTGCTGTATTCTTTTGATAAAACCTTAATGTTTATGTTCCATTTTGATAAATCCTTTACTGGTAGCTACACAAAATGGTGGCAGTGTCTGTTTTTCCTTGGTTGGACTTTTAAGAGTTTAATTCCTGTCACACTGTTCTGAAACACTACTTCCAACCTGTCACACTGTTCTGAAACACTACTTCCAACCTGTCACACTGTTCTGAAACACTACTTCCAACCTGTCACACTGTTCTGAAACACTACTTCCAACCTGTCACACTGACCTGAAACACTACTTCCAACCTGTCACACTGACCTGAAACACTACTTCCAACCTGTCACACTGACCTGAAACACTACTTCCAACCTGTCACACTGACCTGAAACACTACTTCCAACCTGTCACACTGTTCTGAAACACTACTTCCAACCTGTCACACTGACCTGAAACACTACTTCCAACCTGTCACACTGACCTGAAACACTACTTCCAACCTGTCACACTGACCTGAAACACTACTTCCAACCTGTCACACTGACCTGAAACACTACTTCCAACCTGTCACACTGACCTGAAACACTACTTCCAACCTGTCACACTGTTCTGAAACACTACTTCCAACCTGTCACACTGACCTGAAACACTACTTCCAACCTGTCACACTGACCTGAAACACTATTTCCAACCTGTCACACTGTTCTGAAACACTACTTCCAGCCTGTCACACTGTTCTGAAATACTACTTCCAGCCTGTCACACTGTTCTGAAACACTACTTCCAGCCTGTCACACTGTTCTGAAACACTACTTCCAGCCTGTCACACTGTTCTGAAATACTACTTCCAGCCTGTCACACTGTTCTGAAATACTACTTCCAGCCTGTCACACTGACCTGAAACACTACTTCCAGCCTGTCACACTGTTCTGAAATACTACTTCCAGCCTGTCACACTGTTCTGATACACTACTTCCAACCTGTCACACTGTTCTGATACACTACTTCCAACCTGTCACACTGACCTGAAATACTACTTCCAACCTGTCACACTGTCCTGAAACATTACTTCCAGCCTGTCACACTGACCTGAAACACTACTTCCAACCTGTCACACTGACCTGAAACACTACTTCCAACATGTCACACTGTCCTGAAACACTACTTCCAACCTGTCACACTGACCTGAAACACTACTTCCAACCTGTCACACTGACCTGAAACACTACTTCCAACCTGTCACACTGACCTGAAACACTACTTCCAACCTGTCACACTGACCTGAAACACTACTTCAACCTGTCACACTGTTCTGAAACACTGCTTCCAACCTGTCACACTGACCTGAAACACTACTTCCAACCTGTCACACTGACCTGAAATACTACTTCCAACCTGTCACACTGACCTGAAACACTACTTCCAACCTGTCACACTGTCCTGAAACACTACTTCCAGCCTGTCACACTGTCCTGAAACACTACTTCCAACCTGTCACACTGACCTGAAACACTACTTCCAACCTGTCACACTGTCCTGAAACACTACTTCCAACCTGTCACACTGACCTGAAACACTACTTCCAACCTGTCACACTGACCTGAAACACTACTTCCAACCTGTCACACTGACCTGAAACACTACTTCCAACCTGTCACACTGTTCTGATACACTACTTCCAACCTGTCACACTGTTCTGAAACACTACTTCCAGCCTGTCACACTGTCCTGAAACACTACTTCCAACCTGTCACACTGACCTGAAACACTACTTCCAACCTGTCACACTGACCTGAAATACTACTTCCAACCTGTCACACTGACCTGAAATACTACTTCCAACCTGTCACACTGACCTGAAATACTACTTCCAACCTGTCACACTGACCTGAAATACTACTTCCAACCTGTCACACTGACCTGAAACACTACTTCCAACCTGTCACACTGTTCTGATACACTACTTCTAACCTGTCACACTGACCTGAAACACTACTTCCAACCTGTCACACTGACCTGAAATACTACTATATCCCTGTCACACTGTTCTAAATTTCTCTCTTCTGAATTCCTGTTATGTGTACTCCTGGTTATATCAAGGTACCACAGGGTTTTTTGGCAATGTCCATGTATGTTTACCACAGTTTTTTTTATATCTTGTTGGAATAGATACCATATTTAGTAAACATAATTAAGTCAGTATCCTCTTCCTAGTCAAGAAATTACAAATTACATTTAGTTTTTATTTAGTAAAGAAAATTAGCCACATGTAAATCAGTTGTAGAAGCTACTCAAAGTACATATACCGCGGTACCACAAAGCAAAGTTTTAAAACTTTGAATAAAGTAATTTCATTTTATAACATAATTTTACCATTCAAACTCTTTTATCTTAATTGTTAGTGCAGTTTTATTTCTTGATTTCAGCAGATCCATGTATGTGTGATCTATGTATGTGTGATCCATGTACGTGTGATCTGTGTATGTGTGATCTATGTATGTGTGATCCATGTACGTGTGATCTGTGTATGTGTGATCCATGTATGTGTGATCCATGTACGTGTGATCCATGTACTATGATCTGTGTATGTGTGATCCATGTACGTGTGATCTGTGTATGTGTGATCCATGTACGTGTGATCTGTGTATGTGTGATCCGTGTACGTGTGATCTGTGTATGTGTGATCCGTGTACGTGTGATCTGTGTATGTTTGATCCGTGTACGTGTGATCTGTGTATGTGTGATCCATGTACATGTGATCTGTGTATGTGTGAACCGTGTACGTGTGATCTGTGTATGTGTGATCCATGTACGTGTGATCTGTGTATGTGTGATCCATGTACGTGTGATCTGTGTATGTGTGATCCGTGTACGTGTGATCTGTGTATGTGTGATCCATGTATGTGTGATCTGTGTATGTGTGATCCATGTACGTGTGATCTGTGTATGTGTGATCTGTGTACGTGTGATCCATGTACGTGTGATCTGTGTATGTGTGATCCATGTACGTTGGATCTGTGTATGTGTGATCCATGTACGTGTGATCTGTGTATGTGTGATCCGTGTACGTGTGATCTATGTACGTGTGATCCATGTATGTGTGATCTGTGTATGTGTGATCCATGTACGTGTGATCTGTGTATGTGTGATCTGTGTATGTGTGATCCATGTACGTGTGATCTGTGTATGTGTGATCCATGTACGTGTGATCTGTGTATGTGTGATCCGTGTACGTGTGATCTGTGTATGTGTGATCTGTGTACGTGTGATCTGTGTATGTGTGATCCATGTACGTGTGATCTGTGTATGTGTGAACCGTGTACGTGTGATCTGTGTATGTGTGATCCGTGTACGTGTGATCTGTGTATGTGTGATCCATGTACATGTGATCTGTGTACGTGTGATCTGTGTATGTTTGAACCGTGTATGCAATCATTGTAGGCAATTCAGAGGTAAATGTTTCTTATGATCAAGTTTTATTGAGAATGCTTTGTTTCAAAAGTAATGCCACTATCAAATATACCACATTGAAAATAGAGTTCAAAGGTGGGATGCTCATCTTTGAATCAAAATGAAAGAAATTATTTCTTTGAAGTCGTCTGGAATTTTAATAGAATCATGATGTAATTAGTTGTCTTGTATTCTTTCATACATGTATTTTACAAGATATCTTATATCTGTCAAATAAGCTTCAGATAATACAGACATATGATATTCATATCGTTCTTCTGTCTTTTTACTGATTTCTTTTTCATAGTTGGCAACATATCCTTCAAAATATAGGAACTGACAACAGAATATTTGTGAACATTTTTGCCAAGTTATTACCTCAATATGTAAAACTGATTTTTGCTCATTTATGCATAACATTCATTCCTGAATATCTATGATGATTTACGGGTCACATTGGAGATGGCAAGAACTTCCTCAGTTTATCTTGACTATCAAAATACACAGTCAAATACACAGTCAGAGTGTATACTGTATGATCCATTCCTTCTCTGTCCATCAAAGAAAATCTGATACCAACTACATTCTGTGCCTCACATGTTGACAAGTTTGGTAAAACACTTAACAGTCAAGTTTGGAAAATCTCAAGTTTGGCTTAACAGTCAAGACAGGTAAAACATCCAGCAGTCAAGTCAGGTAATACATCCAGCAGTCAAGTCAGGTAAAACATCCAGCAGTCAAGTCAGGTAAAACATCCACCAGTCAAGTCAGGTAAAACATCCACCAGTCAAGTCAGGTAAAACATCCACCATTCAAGTCAGGTAAAACATACACCTGTCAAGTCAGATAAAACATCCACCAATCAAGTCAGGTAACACATCTATCAGTCATGTTTGGTGAAATACCTAACAGTTAGGTTTGGTAAAACTCCTCGTAGTCTAGTTCACAGTCAAGTGAGGAAAAATACAAGAGTTATGTTTGGTAAATCTCCTAAGTCAAGTTTAGAAAAACTGCTAACAATCAAGTTTGGTGAACACATCTTGACAAACAGGTCATGTTTATAGTGGATGAAATACCTAACAGTTAGGTTTGGTAAAACTCCTCGTAGTCTAGTTTGGTAAAATACCTTACAGTCAAGTGAGGAAAAATACTGAAGAGTTATGTTTGGTAAATCTCATAAGTCAAGTTTAGAAAAACTCCTAACAGACAAGTTTGGTGAAACTCATAACGGTCATTCTTCAAGAGTTGACAAACAGGTGGAAACGTTATCAGAATCTATATGATGTTAGCCTGATGTAGACAAGGATATCAGAATAAGATTGTTAGCCTGATGTAGAAGTCATAATGTATGCTGCCAACTGATGATTGTTAGCCTGATGTAGAATAAAGAAAGATAACAGAATACTGATGATTGTTAGCCTGATGTAGAATAAAGAAAGATAACAGAATACTGATGATTGTTAGCCTGATGTAGAATAAAGAAAGATAACAGAATACTGATGATTGTTAGCCTGATGTAGAATAAAGAAAGATAACAGAATACTGATGATTGTTAGCCTGATGTAGAATAAAGAAAGATAACAGAATACTGATGATTGTTAGCCTGATGTAGAATAAAGAAAGATAACAGAATACTGATGATTGTTAGCCTGATGTAGAATAAAGAAAGATAACAGAATACTGATGATTGTTAGCCTGATGTAGAATAAAGAAAGATAACAGAATACTGATGATTGTTAGCCTGATGTAGAATAAAGAAAGATAACAGAATACTGATGATTGTTAGCCTGATGTAGAATAAAGAAAGATAACAGAATACTGATGATTGTTAGCCTGATGTAGAATAAAGAAAGATAACAGAATACTGATGATTGTTAGCCTGATGTAGAATAAAGAAAGATAACAGAATACTGATGATTGTTAGCCTGATGTAGAATAAAGAAAGATAACAGAATACTGATGATTGTTAGCCTGATGTAGAATAAAGAAAGATAACAGAATACTGATGATTGTTAGCCTGATGTAGAATAAAGAAAGATAACAGAATACTGATGATTGTTAGCCTGATGTAGAATAAAGAAAGATAACAGAATACTGATGATTGTTAGCCTGATGTAGAATAAAGAAAGATAACAGAATACTGATGATTGTTAGCCTGATGTAGAATAAAGAAAGATAACAGAATACTGATGATTGTTAGCCTGATGTAGAATAAAGAAAGATAACAGAATACTGATGATTGTTAGCCTGATGTAGAATAAAGAAAGATAACAGAATACTGATGATTGTTAGCCTGATGTAGAATAAAGAAAGATAACAGAATACTGATGATTGTTAGCCTGATGTAGAATAAAGAAAGATAACAGAATACTGATGATTGTTAGCCTGATGTAGAATAAAGAAAGATAACAGAATACTGATGACGAGTTTCTCCGCAAGCGTCTCCACCGACGATACCTGTCATAAATCTGGGCCAGATGCAAGAACCAATCTATCGACAAGGCTATTCCGACTGACAAACAATCTAAAAGGAAATGAAATTCTGCAGAAAACAAAATATATAAGATGTTTATGAAATCACTGCCTTGCCTTTCGGACGGTTTGATGCTCTTGTCTTGTGACATTGATTCCTGACAGAACTTGACGCTAACCACCATTTCGTCTTTATTGCTTTAATGCAAATTAGAAATTGCCTATTTCTTGATTAGCTGTTGTGACACTCAAACTACGATCATTCATATTGAACGAACACTTCTCGGGACTGACTTGAATACGACGGGTGGGTGATGTTTTGTGTTGGAGTAATTAATTTCCATTTTTCACAAGAAAGATTAATGAATAAAACCATCGATTTGCTGCTAATTCTGTCCATTCGGATTGCTGTTAGGTCTGTCCATTCGGATTGCAGCTAAGTCTCTCCACTCAGATTGCTGTTAGGTCTGTCCATTCTCCGTTGGAATCAGTAAGCCTAAAGCAGATAGTTCATTGTCTCCAGATTTATATAAAGAGATATGACGTTAAAAATAGCATCTATAAATAGCCAACACCCTAAGTCCGCAACTCTAAAAGGACAAGGGACACGATTTTGATTTTCCACAATCTAACATTTTTAAGATGATATGACGCCACGGTAGCTTTAATTCACAAGACTTCGCCCCTTCCCACGCTTAAGTGACTGGCCCACCCGATGAATATGCATATTCTGTGAACGAAAACGAGGCTAATGGACCTGTTATATCAGCCTAAACGCCCGTTTGAGTCTGTATTTTTTCAAACATTGGATAGATTTTTCATTCATCACTAAATCGGTAAGATCGATTCTTGTGATGCGTGTAGATTAGAAAAGATAGTTAAAACTTAACGAGGATAAAATTGTATAAAAAAAGTATCTGCTTTAGGAAGAAATTACTAAAAGTTGGACCATTTTGACGGGAAAACCTTGGCTTCAAATGCATAGCGCACTCAAGTACCAACTAAAAAGTTGGTTAACTTAACCTAATTCAGCGTAATCATATGTAACACGAATCCTGTCCTCGATAGAGTGGGCGCTTATGCTCTCGATATTGAATTTACGGCTAAAATGTGGCTGATTTTTACATCAGACAGAGAGACGTCACTCTCACGTCAGGGGAATTTTCATAATGTCGCACGTTCGATCTCGACTATTGACATAAGGACATTATCGCAACTTAATTTTTATTTCATATTTTAATATACCAAATCTAGTGGTGAGTGTCCTTTTATTTATTTGATTGTCCATATGCATTGCGACAAGTACTGGTCAAACCACGTGATAATGACTCAGTCAACGATTTACAATACAGTGCTAGTGACATAGTTCTTCTTCATTTCTTAAAAAGCCACCATGCTTTCTATTACTGGTATTGTTATTCAGCCAGACTGGAAATTTTTCATCGATAACATTATTTGTTATTTTTACATTCAGTACCTTGTGCTACACACGATCGAACGGTTCGAAAACGGAAGTTTAACTTATTTCAAACACTGAACATGATCGTGTCATTGATATCCAAGTTAGTGATTTGAGTGTAGACTTTCTTGGTCCTTATGATCATCCAGGAGTAATTTTAGACGAATATTACAAATTAGGTAGACACATAAAAATATTCCTAATATTGCATCCAAACAGGTAAGTGTTCTCTGGAAAGTTGGGGTACATGTTGAATAGATAAACTTTAGTAAAAATCTATAAAGTATACATACTTCCATTATTAAAATCTTGCTTTGAAGTTTGGGATGGGTGTTTTCTCAGTGACGCAGAAAAATTGGAAAAAATCTTCAGTTAGAATCCCCTCGAATTATTACAGGTTTACCAGCATATAGCCACAGAGAATCTCTCTATATCGAAAGTGGTTCAGAACCGCTATCAGAACGAGGCTCTAGAAGAAAGCTACAACTATTCTACACAATAAGTAGTAAACTCACACCTAATTATCTATCCTCTTTATTGCCTCCTTTAGTGTCAGAAAATTCACAATATAACCTCTGTGACGCACAAAACTATTCTTTGCCAAATTTTCGACTACAGCTACATGTAATTAACTTAACCTTTTTATCGTCTACTATCCGACTTTGGAACCAACTTGACCTTGAAATTAGTCGTAGTGTTTCTTATCTGGTTTTGTTTTTAAAAAAAATTCTGTTCAAACCCCTACACTAGTTTAAAATTATTTGATTTCTCAATATGAAGTCCTATCATCCCGTATTGATTTGGCAGCAGATGTGCAGATGTTTATATCACTCTTTCGTAAACAACGAAGAAAAATCCAACGTGTCAAAAGAATCTTAATTCATTATAACATCACATCAAACTAGGACAAAATATAAACAAAAGAAAAAATTACACAGGGACTTCTGGATAAGTAAAAAGCAAATAAGACGTGGTGTTCCGAAAGTGTTAGCGCTATCTTCTTCGTTTATGATACCCGCCATGAAAGCCTTTGTCTATCTAAGTATGTAATGTCACGTTCTTAAGTAAAATACTGTAAACAACAACGGAATCAACAGGTTTAGTAATGAGCATCATACAGGTCAAAGTTCACATCGCATGATACGATATGTTCCAATGAGATGAGTATGATAATCGTAAAACTTCTCCGTAAAGCTCACTAACCCACACCTGCTGAAATTCTGTGCTATGAATTTAGCCGTCAGTTGTCTCAGAACTTGAGAATGGCTCAATCATAAATGGACGTCGTATTTGCAAATGCTTTATTCTATTCACCATTATGGACTTTCTCCTTGTTAAGACACCTTGGGACTTCCTCCGGGTTTAGACACCTTGTGACTTCCTCCGGATTTAGAAACCTTGAGACTTCCTCCGGATTTAGACACCTTGGGACTTCCTCCGGGTTTAGACACCTTGGGACTTCCTCCGGGTTTAGACACCTTGGGACTTCCTCCAGGTTTAGACACCTTGAGACTTCCTGCGGGTTTAGACACTTTGGGACTTCCTCTTTGTTTAGAGACCTTTGGTCTTACTCCGGGTTTAGACACCTTGGGACTTCCTCCGGGTTTAGACACCTTGAGACTTCCTGCGGGTTTAGACACTTTGGAACTTCCTCCGGGTTTAAACACCTTGGGACTTCCTCCGGGTTTAGAGACCTTTGTTCTGCCTCCGGGTTTAGACACCTTGTGACTTCCTCCGGGTTTAGACACCTTGGGACTTCCTCCGGGTTTAGACACCTTGGGACTTCCTCCGGGTTTAGGCACCTTGGGACTTCCTCCGGGTTTAGACACCTTGGGACTTCCTCCGGGTTTAAACACCTTGGGACTTCCTCTTTGTTTAGACACCTTCGGTCTTCCTCCGGGTTTAGACACCTTGTGACTTCCTCCGTGTTTAGACACCTTGGGACTTCCTCCGGGTTTAGACACTTCGTTATTGCAGTAAAAGAACCGTCACTTGCATAAAGAGTAAAAATTCTCCCTACGGTTTGGTCTACAGTTAAAATGAAATCCAGTTAGCTTCACTACCATATATACTGACCTTTCTGAACGAAATGAGAAATTGAGAGATTCAGACTTATTGTTCATTGAAACCGGTGGTTGTTTGGAAGGTTACTGAAGGGACAATATTTTCACAAACAATCGTGACAAAATGTCACAAAAACAATTATCTGATAAGCCTCGTTATCAAAACTTTAAAATTGTGTATCTAATACGTTTCTACATCCAATTCGTTATTTCTTTTTAAATATCATTTAATATTTTTTTCGATTTCAACTTGGAGTTAAAGTATTTCTTTTTGTGATGGTCATTTTCAGGTGTTTTGTCCACAAACGACTCTAATCGTCGATAAAAAAAGAAACGAGTAGGCGTGAGTTCATGTTGAATGATCTACATCCGGTTGATGTAGGCAACGGAATACATACCTATCAGGAGACCTAAGGATAAAGTACCCATTTTGTGGGTCAAACTGTCTCGTAGGACGAACCCATAGACATTGTTCACTGAAATAAAGTAAATTAGAATCTAGATTTAATTAATCACCCCGGTCTTTTCAAATTTTCAAATACGACGTTGTGAGGAATCCGAGATAATGTATTTGTATATAGTGTTGTTCACCTAGTCCTAGGTACGTTGAGCTGAGGCAGCAGTGATCCTGGCTAGTCGAAGACAAATGGTTGTGTGATATATGTCCTCCAGTGATTTTCCTGTTGCTATCCAATATGAGAAAATACACAAAAAGAATGAAATTCTCGGAAACGGTAAGTACTTCATTGAATTTATTCTGGTTAAGCATCAAACGAATACCATGTATTTATTTTCTTAAAGAGGTTTAAAGTTTGTTAGTCGGAAACGTAAAAGATATTTCAGTTTAAATCACTGCTTTTTTGACACAGTAATGAACCTATAAGACATTTAGATACAGTTGAGACCATCCCCTTTACATGTAAATCGTGTTAGGCCCAGTCGTACAACCTGTATTGGTTGATAATATGTACACAGAGTTTTGTTATGAACGTTGTTAATGGAACATTTTTTCGGAAGCCTAAAACATCTTTGTTATAGAAATAGAAAAGTGTCAGAGAACGTCTCCGCTGGTTATTCTATCTGTATCGTTAGTAATTGTTCATTGTGTCTTAATGTACGGGTTTCAGAACTGATACAGTAAGTCTGAGTGTACATGTTTAGACCTGGCCAGTCCTATTGTACATGTTTAGGCCTGGCCAGTTTCAGAGCTGACACAGTCAGTCTATTTGTACGTGTTTAGGCCTGGCCAGTTTCAGAACTGACACGGCCAGTCCTAGTGTACGTGTTTAGGCCTGGCCTGTTTCAGAACTGACACAGTAAGTCCTATTGTACGTGTTAAGGCCTGGCCAGTTTCAGAACTGACACAGTCAGTCTATTTATACATGTTTAGGCCTGGCCAGTTTCAGAACTGACACAGTCAGTCCTGTAATACGTGTTTAGGCCTGGCCAGTTTCAGAACTGACACGGCCAGTCCTAGTGTACGTGTTTAGGCCTGGCCAGTTTCAGAACTGACACGGCCAGTCCTAGTGTACGGGTTTAGGCCTGGCCAGTTTCAGAACTGACACAGCCAGTCCGAGTGTACGTGTTTAAGCATGGCCAGTTTCAGAACTGACACAGCCAATCCTATTGTACGGGTTTAGGCCTGACCAGTTTCAGAACTGACACGGCCAGTCCTAGTGTACGTGTTTAGGCCTGGCCAGTTTCAGAACTGACACAGTCAGTCTATTTGTGCGTGTTTAGGCCTGGCCAGTTTCAGAACTGACACGGCCAGTCCTAGTGTACGTGTTTAGGCCTGACCAGTTTCAGAACTGACACAGTCAGTCTATTTGTACGTGTTTAGGCCTGGCCAGTTTCAGAACTGACACAGCCAGTCCTATTGTACGTGTTTAGGCCTGACCAGTTTCAGAACTGACAAAGCCAGTCCTATTGTACGGGTTTAGGCCTGACCAGTTTCAGAATTGACACGGCCAGTCCTAGTGTACGTGTTTAGGCCAGGCCAGTTTCAGAACTGGCCAGTTTCAGAACTGACACAGCCAATCCTATTGAACGTGTTTAGGCCAGGCCAGTTTCAGAACTGACACAGCCAGTCCTATCGTACAGGTTTAGGCCTGACCAGTTTCAGAACTGACAAAGCCAGTCCTATTGTACGGGTTTAGGCCTGACCAGTTTCAGAACTGACACGGCCAGTCCTAGTGTACGTGTTTAGGCCTGGCCAGTTTCAGAACTGACACAGCCAATCCTATTGAACGTGTTTAGGCCAGGCCAGTTTCAGAACTGACACGGCCAGTCCTAGTGTACGTGTTTAGGCCTGGCCAGTTTCAGAACTGACACGGCCAGTCCTAGTGTACGGGTTTAGGCCTGGCCAGTTTCAGAACTGACACAGCCAGTCCGAGTGTACGTGTTTAAGCCTGTCCAGTTTCAGAACTGACACCGCCAGTCCTATTGTACGTGTTTAGGCCTGGCCAGTTTCAGAACTGACACGGCCAGTCCTAGTGTACGTGTTTAGGCCAGGCCAGTTTCAGAACTGACACAGTCCGTCTCAGTGTACGTGTTTAGGCCTGGCCAGTTTCAGAACTGACACTGACACAGCCAGTCCTATTGTACGTGTTTAGGCCTGGCCAGTTTCAGAACTGACACGGCCAGTCCTAGTGTACGTGTTTAGGCCTGGCCAGTTTCAGAACTGACACAGGCAGTCTATTGTACGTGTTTAGGCCTGGCCAGTTTCAGAACTGACACGGCCAGTCCTAGTGTACTTGTTTAGGCCTGGCCAGTTTCAGAACTGACACGGCCAGTCCTAGTGTACGTGTTTAGGCCTGGCCAGTTTCAGAACTGACACGGCCAGTCCTAGTGTACGGGTTTAGGCCTGGCCAGTTTCAGAACTGACACGGCCAGTCCTAGTGTACGTGTTTAGGCCTGGCCAGTTTCAGAACTGACACGGCCAGTCCTAGTGTACGTGTTTAGGCCTGGCCAGTTTCAGAACTGACACGGCCAGTCCTAGTGTACGTGTTTAGGCCAGGCCAGTTTCAGAACTGACACAGCCAGTCCTATCGTACGGGTTTAGGCCTGACCAGTTTCAGAACTGACACGGCCAGTCCTAGTGTACGTGTTTAGGCCTGACCAGTTCCAGAACTGACACAGTCAGTCTATTTGTACGTGTTTAGGCCTTGCCAGTTTCAGAACTGACACGGCCAGTCCTAGTGTACGTGTTTAGGCCTGGCCAGTTTCAGAACTGACACAGCCAGTCTATTTGTACGTGTTTAGGCCTGGCCAGTTTCAGAACTGACACGGCCAGTCCTAGTGTACGTGTTTAGGCCTGGCCAGTTTCAGAACTGACACGGCCAGTCCTAGTGTACGTGTTTAGGCCAGGCCAGTTTCAGAACTGACACAGTCAGTCGATTTGTACGTGTTTAGGCCTGGCCAGTTTCAGAACTGACACGGCCAGTCCTAGTGTACGTGTTTAGGCCTGGCCAGTTTCAGAACTGACACGGCCAGTCCTAGTGTACGTGTTTAGGCCTGGCCAGTTTCAGAACTGACACGGCCAGTCCTAGTGTACGTGTTTAGGACTGGCCAGTTTCAGAACTGACACGGCCAGTCCTAGTGTACGTGTTTAGGACTGACCAGTTTCAGAACTGACACCGCCAGTCCTAGTGTACGTGTTTAGGACTGGCCAGTTTCAGAACTGACACGGCCAGTCCTAGTGTACGTGTTTAGGCCAGGCCAGTTTCAGAACCACGGCCAGTCCTAGTCGTGTTTAGAGTTTCAGAACTGACACAGCCAGTCCTATGTTTCAGAACTGACACAGCCAGTTTTTAGGCCTTGCCAGTTTCAGAACTGACACGGCCAGTCCTAGTGTACGTGTTTAGGCCTGACCAGTTTCAGAACTGACACAGTCAGTCTATTTGTACGTGTTTAGGCCTGGCCAGTTTCAGAACTGACACGGCCAGTCCTAGTGTACGTGTTTAGGCCTGGCCAGTTTCAGAACTGACACGGCCAGTCCTAGTGTACGTGTTTAGGCCTGGCCAGTTTCAGAACTGACACGGCCAGTCCTAGTGTACGGGTTTAGGCCTGGCCAGTTTCAGAACTGACACAGTCAGTCTATTTGTACGTGTTTAGGCCTTGCCAGTTTCAGAACTGACACGGCCAGTCCTAGTGTACGTGTTTAGGCCTGGCCAGTTTCAGAACTGACACGGCCAGTCCTAGTGTACGTGTTTAGGCCAGGCCAGTTTCAGAACTGACACAGCCAGTCCTATTGTACGTGTTTAGGCCTGGCCAGTTTCAGAACTGACACGGCCAGTCCTAGTGTACGTGTTTAGGCCTGGCCAGTTTCAGAACTGACACGGCCAGTCCTAGTGTACGTGTTTAGGCCTGGCCAGTTTCAGAACTGACACGGCCAGTCCTAGTGTACGTGTTTAGGCCTGGCCAGTTTCAGAACTGACACGGCCAGTCCTAGTGTACGTGTTTAGGCCAGGCCAGTTTCAGAACTGACACAGTCAGTCTATTTGTACGTGTTTAGGCCTGGCCAGTTTCAGAACTGACACGGCCAGTCCTAGTGTACGTGTTTAGGCCTGGCCAGTTTCAGAACTGACACGGCCAGTCCTAGTGTACGTGTTTAAGCATGGCCAGTTTCAGAACTGACACAGCCAATCCTATTGAACGTGTTTAGGCCAGGCCAGTTTCAGAACTGACACAGCCAGTCCTATTGTACGGGTTTAGGCCTGACCAGTTTCAGAACTGACACGGCCAGTCCTAGTGTACGTGTTTAGGCCTGGCCAGTTTCAGAACTGACACGGCCAGTCCTAGTGTACGTGTTTAGGCCTGGCCAGTTTCAGAACTGACACGGCCAGTCCTAGTGTACGTGTTTAAGCATGGCCAGTTTCAGAACTGACACAGCCAGTCCTAGTGTACGTGTTTAGGCCTGGCCAGTTTCAGAACTGAGTGTACGTGTTTAGGCCAGTCAGTGTACGTGTTTAGGCCTGGCCAGTTTCAGAACTGACACGGTCAGTCCTAGTGTACGTGTTTAGGCCTGGCCAGTTTCAGAACTGACACGTAGTCCTAGTGTACGTGTTTAGGCCTGGCCAGTTTCAGAACTGACACGGCCAGTCCTAGTGTACGTGTTTAGGCCTGGCCAGTTTCAGAACTGACACGGCCAGTCCTAGTGTACGTGTTTAGGCCTGGCCAGTTTCAGAACTGACACAGTCAGTCTATTTGTACGTGTTTAGGCCTGGCCAGTTTCAGAACTGACACGGTAGTCCTAGTAGTGTTTAGGCCTGGCCAGTTTCAGAACTGACACAGCAGCCAGTCCTAGTGTACGTGTTTAGGCCTAGTAGTAGAAGTGAGTAGTCCTAGTTACGTTGTTTAGGCCTGACCAGTTTCAGAACTGACAAAGTGGTCCTAGTGTACGTGTTTTAGGCCTGACCAGTAGTAGTAGT